GGAAGCATGATTACCTATTTTAGAGATTTGAATTGCAAAGTACGTGTGAAAGTTGTATGGTTGAATTAACGAATTGAAGCATGACACATTTATGCATCCATTGGGAAAGGAAAATGGGAAAAATGTTTTGAAAGCAAATGAAATGATTTTGGGTAAAGGTTTTGAAAAGTGTTTGTGAAAACCGGATGCCTAGGAGGCGCCTAGTGGTCTGTGGTGTTAGTGTAGTCTAGAGGGGAGTATAGTTGAGCTAACTAGGCCGGATGCGACGCCTTGGAGGTGCCTTGTGGTCGTGGATAGTTAGCCAACCCACTCCTTGTGACGCCATAGAGGTGCTATGGGTCGGATAACACTAACGGTTTGGATGTTGAAACGGAAATGTTTCGAAAAATGGGGAGTGACATGAGCATGACATTGCACTTCATTGGCATACATGGCGTGATTGTGACTTGGATAGTATATGTGTTTATATTAGATGATGTGGTTATGGTATACATTCCCGGTATAGCATGATCCCGTTTTCTTATATTCTATTCTATATGTGGATTCATGGGGTCATAAGAAGTGTGTCATAGACACTTCCTACTGAGCTTATGCTCACCTCTTTATTATTAACATTTTTCAGGACACGGAAGGGAAGTGGCAGACAACGCTCCTCCACAGGGTTCGATGGGTCAGTGGACTGTTTTGACGTATTTCGTAACTATGATCTCTTATTATTATTATTGCTATTGCTATTTTTTTTAAAACCCTGTGACGACATGTATATTATATATATTGACGTAGGAAAGGACGGTAGTGTCCTTAATTGACCTCGGGTTCGGATAAGGACCCGGTTAGCGATTCAGACCCTCGGGTTTGGGTCGTTACAACTACATAATACTTATTACAAATAGTATTGGAGCTTACTCAATTTTTGATCTGAAGTCACCTAGATGGAAAAGTCTTGGACTAATAAGGATTGATATGTAACACTACATAATACTTATTACAAGTAATATTAGAGCTTATCCAATTCTTGATCTAATATTACCCCACACAATGGGCCAAATCTGCCTCCGCAAACAAAATCATGCTCAGGACTAAGATTGGAGTCATATGTACTGGTTCAGGATTTGATAGGTCAAATGTTTCGGAATTTGTTTTAGGTCAACATTTCCTGAAGTTATCTTCCTAGGCTGCCTCCTAACGTTTATTTTGGTATCACATTTATCGGAACAAGTTGCCAAATTATATATAAGGTGTGTTAATTCATACTTTGTGATTTTAAGCTATGTGCCTATGTGTGTGTGTTGTGTGTGTATGTGTGTGTGTATATATATATATATATAATTTGTCTTGGCATCATCTAAGTCACATAAGGAACATCATCTACGAACTTTTAAGTGATCTATGTTGAATGCTTCCAATAGTCTTTGGAATTGTCTTTAACAACTAATAAGACTCTGGTTTCTTCATATTAAAGAAGACGGCATCTGATTTCTTGTACTGCAAATAGGACAATATTGGGGATTAAATCAACTCTATCCTCGACTAAGTTGATACATAATCATCCAAATATCACAATCATCCTGAAAAATATGTGATGTTCACAACGAGAAGTTGTTTGTCAAGAGTCTCAAATTGCTCTTTATGGCCTCCAACTCCAGAGTCTGTGCTTGTTTCTTAGCATGATTACACTCTTGGGAGTGTTCCTTTACCACGTTTAATATGTTCTTCAATGGCCTCCAACTCCAAGAAAGTCCATGCTGGTTTGCTCTTTATTGTCACTTTGTACAGCTTGTGTAAAAGCCTGGTTTAAGCAACACACATCATGACAAGAAGCCGACATCTTAACAGCAACCAACGTCTTGTCTCCACGGCCAACAACATCTTTAAATTAGGTTTCTTCAAACTCAACCCCTCATCGAAAGCACTGTCTATCAAAAATCGCCCTAGGAAAGTAGTGAAGAACCCAGTTAATGGCTTATTGGGAGTTCTAATTTTAGCCCTTAGCAGTAAATTCAAAATAACAAACAGTGCAGGAGAGCTGCCTCTTTTAAGTTCCCATCACAGAAGAAATGCTAGTAATCCAAGTGTTACTCTATTAGATTCTGCGAATTTGGTTCCAGGGGAAGTGAATCTCAATGAAACTGCATTCCACAAATTACTGCAAAGCATGGGATATTGTAAATCATTCTTGGTTTATTTGCCTGAGGAAAAAGTGGACAGAAATAGTTACACAAATGCTGATGATCTTGGTAGCAAAACACTCTGTCCTTGCAAGACAGAGGACATGTCTTTCGTGCAAAAACGAGGTTTTCTCAACCTCATGCACTTGAAAGATCACACATTCTGTGATCCCTCAGTGAGCCACACAGATTGTGAAGGCATGTGCTGGGCAAATTGTGGTTGTGTTGCTTATGTAACTCTATTCAAAAATGATACTGGGTGTGTATATTGGGTGGGAAAAGTGGAGTTCACTGAAACCCCTTGTTCTTCTTCTCCTTCTGTTTTATCTCATAAGATGCAACATTTGGCAACCTCCTGTTGCTATTTTCCTCCTATATTGCCTAACACAGATGATCTGCGAGGAACTAAAACTGAATATGGTAAAGAAAGTAATTTAGATAGGTGGTGGTGGTTATGGTTCCTCATGACAATTGCAACTCTTCTAACAATGTTCATCCTTGGCTTATTTCATTATTTAAGAGCAAAAGGTCTTGAAGCACCTAAAGGACAAGACAGTTTTCAAAGTATGTTCCATTACGAATTATAATGATGTTAGTATATGAGTAATTACTTTGATTTCATGTACAAATATGCTGTAGAGAAAAATGTAAGCAAAGAAATGTCATCACTTGAAATGGGATCATAAATCTTATCTTCCCACAGAAATATTAGTGCAGATAAGCTTGAAAAAGGTGAGAAATTAAGTGAATTTTATTCGTTCAGCTATGCAAGCATATTGGCTGTTACCAACAACTTTTCTCCCTCAAACAAGCTTGGAGAAGGTGGGTTTGGACCTGTTTATAAGGTAAACTTACGCAGACTTGAACTAAGCGCATGACTTCAAATCCTTTTTTGTTAGAGAAGAAAAAGAACCTGAGAAACCCACAGTTAATATAGAGATATCGCAATCTATAGGGTGTAGTGCACAATGGACAAGAAATAGCTGTGAAAAAACTCTCACCCCGTTCCAGTCAAGGACTAGTGGAGTTCAAGAATGAGATTATGCTTATTGCCAAACTCCAACATACAAATCTTGATAAGCTTTTGGGTTTTTGTATTTAAGGCAAAGAGAAGCTGTTAGTCTATGAGTACATGTCGAACAATAGCTTGGATTCTTTTCTCTTTGGTATGTATGGCATCTAAAATTATCTCCTTATTTGTGATACTTCTATCTAGACTTCAAAAACTTATCTCTAATAACATTCATAAAGTACACTTAAACAGATCCTACCAAAAGGGAAATCTTAAATTGGAAGAAGCGTAGTGTTATCATTGAAGGGATTGCTCAAGGACTTCTCTATCTTCACAAATATTCGAGATTAAAAGTGATCCACAGAGATTTAAAAACCAGTAACATATTACTTGACAATGATACGATCCCCAAAATATCAGATTTTGGTATTGCCAGAACGTTTGATCGAAATGAATCTGAAGCAAGTACAAACAGAATTGTTGGGACATAGTAAGAAAACACCTTTTTTATGTGGTTCATTTCCTTACAAAGCATCATTCATACTCACATTGAAATTACATTTAATGTTGGATCCAGTGGTTACATGTCTCCCGAGTATGCCACGGAGGGAATTTTCTCAGAAAAGTCTGATGTCTTCAGCTTTGGAGTCATACTTGCTGAGATCATTAGTGGCAAGAGAAATACTAGTTTCTCTAACATGGATTGCCCACTCAACCTGGTCGGATATGTAAGTTAAATTCCTCTCAGAATATATCAATTACAAATCAGAATTAAATTATGAGTAAAGATTGAATGGTAACTAATTAACCTTGTTGATGAAATTGTTGTAGGCATGGGGCTTGTGGAAAGAAGGTAAGAGTTCAAAGCTAATTGATCAAACAATGATCGACTCATACTCCAGAAATGAATTGTAGAGATGCATCCAAGTGGCTCTGCTGTGCGTACAAGAATGTGCATCAGCTAGGCCTACCATGTCTGATGTTGTTTGGATGCTCACAAACAAGAACATGCCCCTCCCAACTCCGAACCAACTTGCATTTTGTTTTGGAAGAAGTGAGAGAGACTTCAACAAACACAAGTCAGAAAATTGTTCTCTGAATTTATTAACGATTTCTACATTAGAAGCTAGATAGTCGTAATCTTTCATTTCATACATCTAAAATGTTTCTGACAATGTAATATAGAAGGTATTCTATAATCAAACTCAGCCGGCTAAAATGTACAGAGGAATATAGGAAACTTCGCTAGAATTTCAATTGGCCAACATAAACTGTTCCCAATCCTCCTTTTCCAAGTAATTTCCGGAAGTTTTTGGTGATGCCAGAATAATTTAAACTGTTGGACTCTTTAGTTCCAATGCTCCATGTTCTTCTTTTGGCTTTAAAGCAAGCTCCTTACATAACTTGCACACTCAATTTGAGACTTGAACTCTCAGCCTCTACTTTGAGAGGTATCTATATCGTTGATCGAATTACGGTTCTTTGATGCAAAACCATCAGACTTAAAAGATCAGATGAAAATATTGTTTTATCACTTATAGACTATAGTACAGTATTTTTGTTTTAAATGGCCTCTTGCTAACTTGATCAAGGCAGGCATATATGCTCTAATGAGTATTATTTGGGACAAGAAATAGTGGAAAATATAAAGCCACGTTTCGCATCATGAAATTGATGTTTTCGAATTGAAATGAATTCGTGCGCCATAATGTCTTTGTGTTTTACGTCATATATATATATATATATATATATATATATATATATATATATATATATATTTTGTGAGGATAAGAAGCTATTGAACCTTCCAAAGTTCAAGACCTAACAAAACAAAAGAATTCAAGAAGTGAGCATTTGGGGGCCAGAAATAGTCACCATTTTAATTAAATCTTACCATTAGGTTTCGTAGTAAAATATTTTTTATTTTTTCATTTTTTGGTGTTTGATTGTCGTAAAATATTTATGAAAAAAAATATTAATTTTTGATAAGATATTTTTCACGTTCCTTCTAATAATAATAATAAATATTTACTGAATAAAAAGAAGAAATTTTATGGGACTTGTGAGACAATATGGCAATAATGATTTCTATTTTGCAAAGCTTGCAAAAAAAAATTATAATTTGATACTCGTATTCCAATGTGACCTTTGAGAGCAACTTTATAGAAAAAGTAAAAACAAAAAATGAAAATTTTATAATTTGATACGCGTATTCCGAGTATTGTAATCCCTGATGTGACTTTTGAGAGCAACTTTATAGAAAAAAAAGAAAAAAAAAAAAAAAAAAAAAAAAAAAAAATTGAAAAAAAAAAGGGGACTTACATTTTTCTAAATAGGCATGGCCCAGCTGATAGAAAAATCCCTTAAAGCAATTCTACATCGTCAAGACTTTGATTTTTCTACAATTAACGACCACATAACTTGTTTTTGTGGACTGGCTTTGAAAAAAAGTAGATGAAACAAACATCTCCGGAAGGGAAAAAAGGCTAAGGAAACAATATCATCATCCCATATATCCCAGAGCTTTTACATGCCCATTCATGGCTACCAGAGAAGGAAAGATACTCTTTCTTCTCGGTTTCTCATTTTGCATATTGATTTCCTTTTCTTACCAGCAAACAGACACTCTTCTACAAGGCCATTCGATCAGGGATTATGAGTGCTTGGCTTCAGCGAACGGGACCTTCAGTTTACAGTTCTTCACGATCAACACCCGCGTTTCAAAGGACCGTTACTTTGGAATATTGTTTCGCTACCGCTATGGACGTGTACAGAATTGCATTGAGGATTCCAGTGACAGGCGATATGTAGTGTGGGTTGCCAACCGAGACAACCCCATCCGTGACACATCTGGAAATCTCATGATGCACAGCAATGGCACGTTGAAGCTTTCATATAGTAACAACGGTCTTATTGAACTAAGTTCTGTTGTAACAATAAGCAACACAAGCGCTACACTATTAGATACCGGAAATTTTGTACTCAGGGAAGTGAATTTGGATGGGTCTACTGGAAAACTTTTGTGGCAAAGCTTTGATTATCCTACCCACATGCTTATAGCCGACATGAAGATTGGAGTCAACTTCAGAACCGGGCATAACTGGTCATTAACATCATGGTTGAGCGACGAGCTTCCTGCCTCGGGACCTTTTACCTTGGGAGTAGATCCCCATGGAGTAGATCAATTGATTATGTGGTTGCGAGGGAATGTTTATTGGACTAGCGGGCCTTGGAATGGCCAAGCATTTGAGTACATGGATCATTCATCATACCCTGAACAGAAGCTCCCCGATTTTAGATTTGTCTCAAACGAAAATGAAAAGTACTTCACATTTTCAACTACAGGTGCTCTTTATTATGACTTGTACTATATGGATTTACATGGTGAAGTTTCGGGTTTTTTGCCATCTTTAGGTGGATGTTACAGTATCAATACCTTCAGGGGTCCAAGCGAGAAGTTGCAATCCTGTAGGTGGAAGAAGTTGCCAGATTGCAGGAATGATAATTATTATTTTCACGGACATGCTTCTATGGATCCGTATGGTTCTAATGATGGATTGATGGTAGATGAAAGCCCCAATACAACTCTCTTTGATTGCGAGGACCAGTGTCTGAGGAATTGTTCTTGTGTTGCCTATGCTCCTATAAATGATAACGGAACCGGATGTCAGATTTGGCTCAAAGGAATGAAATTCGACTCATTTGATATTTCCGTTTATCCAATACCGATATATGCTCTCCATTCAAAAAAACGGTTAGGTAATCTTATTTCCTTTTTAATTAACACATGCATACTGTCGTATACTTCATTTTTAAAGAAGCATGTCGTGTGCTGAATACCAATTTCAGTAATCAAGTGGCGGAAATGGCTTGCCATCGCGATAGGAGGAGCTCTAGTTGTCATTTTATTCTGCTACTTGTGCTATGTAAGATTGAGAAGGGTAATTAAAGGTAATTTCTCGTGGACTAACTAATGAGATTTTTTCACTCTAAAATGATTTTTAATGAAATCAATGTGTATTTCTTTTTGGTAAATCATACAGAAAAGAAAGACGCACAGATTTTATTAGAGCTCGGAGTTCCTACGAAATATAAGGACAAGAAGAAGGGCCATGAGTTGCAAGTATTCAACTTCGAAAGCATAGTGGTTGCTACAAACAATTTCTCAGACACAAATAAGCTTGGAGAGGGTGGTTATGGACCTGTTTATAAGGTAAATTTAGAGACCCTTTTTATCAAAACGATTTTTCGATATCAAATTTTTTTTTTTTACCATGTCTCAGGGCAACTTTCCAGAGGGGCAAGTTATAGCAGTAAAAAGGCTTTCAAGGAGTTCAGGACAAGGATTAGTGGAGTTCAAGAATGAGATTTTACTCATTGCCAAGCTCCAACACAATAATCTTGTTAGGCTTCTGGGATGCTGCATTGAAGGAGAAGAAAAGATGCTAATCTATGAGTACATGCCCAACCACAGCCTCGATTTCTTCTTATTCGGTTAGCACTGATCAGTACTTTTAAGTTTTCCCATCACGTTGATTATCTATCAAAATTAAGCTCATTTATAAGTTAATCTACAAATTGCATGTACAGAACCTAGTAAAAAGTCATCCTTAAATTGGAATGAACGTATCACCATTATCGAAGGGATTGCTCAAGGACTTCTTTACCTTCACAAGTATTCAAGATTCAGAATAATTCATAGAGATTTAAAAGCCAGTAATATATTACTTGATGAAAAGATGAATCCAAAAATATCAGATTTCGGCATGGCTAAAATATTTGGGGAGAATGAATCTGAAGCAAACACAAAGAGGATTGTTGGGACACGGTGAGTAAATATATATTACATCTACACTGATGTCATGTGAACAAATTTTATCTGTACGTCCTCAAGTGCTAATAATTTCATCAACTATTAATGCAGTGGTTACATGTCTCCAGAGTATTTAATGCAAGGCATTTTTTCAATTAAATCTGATGTGTTTAGCTTTGGAGTGTTGCTGCTTGAGATTATAAGCGGCAAGAAGAGCCATAGTTGCTATCATTATGAGCGCCCACTCAACCTTATAGGATATGTAAGTTGCTTATCTGAATCTTTATTCTCTCTCTAATTTCCTGGTAATCAAAACTATTTTATTCATACGACTCAAAGTTTTGTCATCCCCTGTTTCTTGTACAAAATTGGATTTGTTTCAGGCATGGGAATTATGGAGAGAAAATAGAGGTTTAGAGCTTATAGACCCCACACTGGAAAATTCATATCAAACTGATGAAGTGTTGAGATGCATTCACGTGGGTCTCCTATGTGTACAAGATAATCCAATAAATAGACCTACCATGTCCGATGTTGTTTCTATGCTCACCAAGGAAACTACAACACTTTCTACACCGCAACAGCCGGCCTTTTTCATTGGTGGGAATGTCCTAGAGGCAGATACCTCCCAAGGCATGGCAAAAAAAATTTCTTTTAATAATGTATCAATTTCAGAGATGGAAGCTAGGTAAAGGTACCAATTATTTCCTGACCATACATGTTTGTATTGTGAATTCATAATACTTTGTATTCAGTATTTCAATTAACAACAAAGTTGGATGAATAAATTGAATTAATTATGTGTGACTTTGTTTATAAGACAGTTTAGATTAGTCTATCTTTTTTTATAGTATTCTTTCGTGATATGTTATTTGTCAATCACTACTAGTTTTTGTAGATTTCAATGCTTCTGTCCAAGTTTTATACGTCTTTGCTAATATTAAATCATCAATTACAATTGGTAGCAAATCAGATTCATTTTACTCTACTTGAAGCTTTCATCCTCAATCTTTCTTTTGAAAAGGCAGGAGACCATAGTACGTAGGCCCTGTGGTACAAACTTAATTATTGCTCACAAGGATTATTTATTTATTTATTATTTTATTGATAAGAATATTATATATAAGGTTTTTTTTTTTTTTTTTTCTTTTCAATAAAGTGTAAGCTTGATATTGTAAATGTTTAGAGTTTACAGACCCCATATTAGGTAATGCATATCAAAATAATAGTGTTGAGGTGCATTCACGAGGAAGATATTTTCGAAGTTATGTCAAAAACTCATTCCTTGGATAATGGATCAATTACAGATATGGAAGCTAGACCAGCATGGTTGTATAATGAATTCCTAACTCTTAATTCGGTACACGGTTGTATTATGTATTCCTGATATGTTATTCAGAGTTGAATGAATGTAATAAATAATAATGTGGGTTTTTTTATTTTTATTATTATTTTTTTTTCACATGTTTACAGATGGTTAATTTAGGTCAGCACTGGCATTCGTAGCTTTGCACATGCTACTATCCCAGCATTGCACTTTTATATCTTCTAAAATATATTCCATGAATCTCAGCCAGTCTCAAACATAGATGAGACCAGTGAACTTGTTGTGAATCATAGCTTAACACTCAAAAAAGACTAGGATGGATCAGTTCATATTAATTGGTCTCAGAATTTTTCAGAATCTCTATCTGCATAGCTAAAGTGAAGATTTGACAGGTACACTAGTTGTAGATTGATCTTGCAGATATGCATATCAGACCATGCATGGCTTGACCTGGTAAGTGTAGCATTCATTAGATACTCTGCAATTTATGAGCTCGATTTATTAGATCAGAACTGATAAAAATGACAGTAAAATCTGTGAATATGGGTTCAGGTTTTAGCGAATTCAACCATCCCTTTGCTGTAGTCAATTTGTACGATAAGATCCTTGAAAGGATCCCATAAAAGAAATTTGTGTTTAATAAGTTCATGTTTCAGACGAGGTGAACAGAAAATTAAATCCATTTATCCTGCATTTTTTAAAAATTCCACTTAAATTTTTAGAAAATAAAGTGGCATAATTACTCAACCCATAAGGAGATAATGCTATTGTTATATTTTATTGATTAAAAAATTAGAGTGCAAATATTATGTCCCTATTTATTAAGCATTATTTTCGTTACAAAATTCAAAAGAACAATGCTAGCCTCCTCACCACCAATGTGACATAATGATAGAGTGACATGTGCCTATTTTGAATTTAAAATATGAGAAAAAAACTAACAATTTTTAAAAAAAATTTCCTTTATCTATTTTAAATTCAAAATGGACAAGGTGACATTCTATCATTATGTCATATCAAATACTGAAGAGTAGGTTCCTCTTCACCCATACCAGTAAAAAGAGACAAGTACTGTGCAAATTAAAATTGGGTCAGTGGTGGGGCATGTGGCCACCCTCCTCTTTTGAAAATCCTAACAAGATCGAGGCAGTGGCCTCACATGACTGCTACCAAGTCATACAACATTTGCCATCCCTAAATTTTTGGGTTGCACTATATTCTAAAGAAGTTACATCAACCGGCCATACAGATAAATGGAGATTTGATTCTCTTATATATGTATTATTCTCAATCAAGTCACGACAAACATCATCAAGTGGTATTAGCATAGCTCATATATTGTCTACAAACTGAATAGACTAGTGATAGAAAAATCCCTTTTATTAAACAATTCTACATCGTCCAAGAGTAGTTTGATTTTTCTACAAACAACTTCAATTCAGGACCCCATCTTGTTTTTGAAGGAAAGTTGATGGAAAAAGGGCAAGGAAACATCCAAGACCCTTTCACATAATAATAATAATGCATATATTTTACACACAACCAAAGTCATTGATAATTAAAATAGCAGGCTAACTAGCAACTTTTAGCAACCCATCACTGACCTTTCACATGCCCATTCATGGCTACCAGAGAAAGGATGACACTCTTTCTACTCGGTTTCTCATTTTGTTTCTTGATTCCCCTTTCTTTTCAGGAAACAGACACTCTTCTACAAGGCCAGTCAATCAGGGATTGGGAGCGCTTGGTTTCAGCTGACGGCTACTTCATATTACAGTTCTTCAGCAGCAGCACTTCAAAGGACCGTTACTTTGGAATATCGCACAGCAGCCAACCTGATATGTATGATACAGTGTGGGTAGCCAACCGAGACAACCCAATCCCAGACGCATCTGGAAATTTTACAATCCAAAGCAATGGTCTTATTGACTAAGTTCTGTTCTAACAGCAAGCAACACACTTATCAAAAAATAAAAAATAAAAAAAACAGCAAGCAACACAAGTGCTACACTATTGGATACTGGAAATTTTGTACTAAGGGAAGTGAATTTGGATGGGTCTACTGGGAAACGATTGTGGCAAAGCTTTGATTATCCTACCCATATGCTTCTACCAGGCATGAGGATTGGAGTCAACTTGAGAACGGGGCATAAATGGTCATTAACTTCATGGCTAACAGAAAAGCTTCCAGCCTCGGGGTCTTTTACCTTGGGAGTAGACCCCAATGGTACAGATGATCAACTGACTATCTGGTGGCGAGGGAAAGTTTATTGGACTAGCGGGCCTTGGGATGGACGAGGTTTTGAGTCCATGGATTCATCATACCATCCAGACACCTTGGAGTTTAGATTTGTCTCAAATGAAAATGAAAACTGTTTCACATTTTCAACTACTAATCTTACTTTCTTACATTACTACATGGATTTAGATTGTGATGTTAGGTGGACATGTGACCCTGACGACAAGCATTTTGTATCCCGATTCACGTTTGCCAGGTTTAGGTAGCTGTTACATTACTAATATCAGTGACACCTTCCCATCAAAAAAAGGCAGCCAACAAATTAAAAGACCCCAGGTGTATGAAGGAGAAGTTGCCGGATTGCAGGAACGATAATTATGATCTTTACATCCCAGCTAGTCAGTATCAGTTCAAATTGTTTCGTAAGAATATTGGATTCGAGTTGGATGAAAGTCACAACACCAGTTTCTTTGATTGTCAGGACACGTGCTTGAGGAATTGTTCTTGTGTTGCCTATGCTTCTTTAAATGATAACGGAACTGGATGTAAGATTTGGCCCAAAGGAATGAAATTGGAATCATTTGATGCTTTTGATTTTTCAAGACAGATATATATACTTGAGTCAAAAAAAGGTTAGTTAATCTTATTTCCATTTAATTAACACCATGCATATTGTTGTATTCTTCATTTCTAAAGAAGCATGTAAATTAAGCACAACTGCCAATATTAGTATCAGTAATGAAGCGGTGGACATGGCTTGCTGTCGCGGTAGGAGGAACTCTGTTTACAATTTTGTTCTGCTACTTGTGCTCTGTAGGATTGAGATGGCAAATAAAAGGTAATTTCTCTTGAACTAATTAATGAGATTTTCTCACTCTAATGATTGTCAATGACATCAACGTGTATTCTTTTTTGAAAATCTGACAGAAAAGAAAAAAATAAAAAATTAATTTGAGCTCGTAGTTCCTACGAAATATAAGGGCAATAAGAAGGGCCATGAGTTGCAAGTATTCAACTTTGAAAGCATAGTGGTTGCTACAAACAATTTCTCAGATAAAAATAAGCTTGGAGAGGGTGGTTTTGGACCTGTTTATAAGGTAAACCTTGAGGACCCTTTTATCAAAATGATTTGGATCTCACAATTTTTTTACTGTCCCAGGGTAACTTTCCTGACGGGCAAGTTATAGCAGTAAAAAGGCTTTCAAGGAGGTCAGGACAAGGATTAGTGGAGTTCAAGAATGAGATTTTACACATTGCCAAGCTTCAACACAATAATCTTGTTAGGCTTTTGGGATGTTGTATTGAAAGAGAAGAAAAGATGCTTATCTATGAGTACATGCCCAACCAAAGCCTCGATATCTTCTTATTCGGTTAGTTTTCCCATCACATTAATTATCTATCAAAAGCTCATTTATATATATTCTACAAATTCCATGTACAGATCCCAGTAAGAAGTCATCCTTAGACTGGAAGAAGCGTATCACAATCATCGAAGGGATTGCTCAAGGAATACTTTACCTTCACAAGTATTCAAGATTCAGAATAATTCATAGAGATTTAAAAGTTAGTAATATATTACTTGATGGAAAGATGAATCCAAAAATATCAGATTTTGGTATGGCTAGAATATTTGGGGGGAACGAATCTGAAGCAAACACAAAAAGGGTTGTTGGGACATAGTGAGTAAATATATATCACATCTACAAGTGATGTCATGTGAACATATTTTATTTGTGTGACCTCAAATGCTAATAATTTCTTCAACTATTAATGCAGTGGTTACATGTCTCCCGAGTATGCAATGGAGGGAATTTTTTCAATTAAATCTGATGAGTTTAGTTTTGGAATGTTGTTGCTTGAGATTGTAAGTGGCAAGAAGAACCATAGTTGCTATCATTATGAACGTCCACTCAACCTTATAGGATATGTAAATTGCTTTATTGAATCTTAATTTTATCTCTAATTTTCTAGTGATCAAAACTATTTGATTCATACTCAAAGTTTGACATATCCTAATATCTTATGAGAAATTGGATTTTTTTCAGGCATGGGAATTATGGAGAGAAAATAGAGGTTTGGAGCTTATAGACCCAACGTTGGACAATTCATATCAAAGTAATGAAGTGCTGAGATGCATTCATGTGTGTCTCCTGTGTGTACAAGATAATCCAATACATAGCCCTAACATGTCCGTTGTTTATATGCTCACCAAGGAAATTACACCACTTTCTACACCGCAACAGCCGGCATTTTTCATTGGTGGGAATGTCGTAGAGGCAGATACCTCCCAAGGCATCGCAAAAAAATCATCTTTTAATAATGTATCAATTTCAGAGATGGAAGCTAGGTAGAGGTACCAATGATTTCCGGACCACACATGTTTTGTATTGTGGATTCATAATACTTTATATTCAGTATTCCAATTTAAAAACAGAGTCGCATGAATAAATTGAATTAATTATGTGTGACTCTGTTTATAAGATAGTTTAGATTAGTCATCTTTTTTTATAGTATTCTTTCATGGTTTGTTATTTCTCGATCACTATTAGCTTTTGTAGATTTCAGATGCTTCTGTCCAAGCCTTGTACCTCTTTGCTAATATTAAATCATCATTCGGTACCAAATCAATATGAAGTAATGTCATACTATTCGGGATGGTACCTTAATTTGAAGAAGTTAACACAAGCTTTAATCCTCAAATCTTTCTTTTAAAGAGGCATGAGACCATAGTACGGAGGCCCAGTGGTACACATTGTTCATAAGGATTTTTTATTTTATTTTTTATATGGATATGGTGTATAAGGTTTTTTTTTTCTTTTTTTTTTTTTTTTTTTTCAATTGAAGTGTAAGTTTGATATTGTAAATGTTAATAGATTTTACAGACCCCATATAAGGTAATGCATATCAAAATAATGCATGTCAAAACTTGTTCCTTGAATAATGGATCAATTACAGAGATGGAAGCTAAATCAGCATGGTTGTATAATGAATTCCTAACTTTTAATTCGGTACATGGTTGTATTATGGAATTTTTGTTCCACATGTTTACAAGATGGTAAATTTAGATCAGTATTAGCATTCATAGCTTTGCACATGCCAGTAAGGTTGCATTACATCTCAGACTGCTGTAAACTTGTTGCAAATTATAGCTTAAAATTTAAAAAAGTTAGGATGGATCAGTTCATATTAATTGGTCTCAAGATTTTTCAGAATCTCTATCTGCGTAGCTAAATTGAAGATTTGACAGGCACACTAGTTGTAGATTGATCTGCATTTATGCATATCAGACAATGGCTTGACCTACTAAGTGTAGTACTCATTAGATACTCTGCAATTTATAAGCTTGATTTATTAGATCAGAACTGATAAAATAATAGTAAAGCTGTGAATATGAGTTCAGATTATTGGATTTGATAAAATTATGAATTAGGAATCTGAGAGCTCTGTCCTACAAGATTAATGCATGGAGTGTTGGCACTTACTGTTTGATTGCTGAGAAGACGAAGAAAAACTGAGGGAATGGAAGTAAGCGGGTCTGATCTGCCATGTATATGTCAGTATGGTCCCAGGTTTTAGCCAATTCAATCACCCCTTCGCTCTAAAACCAAGTGTAGGCCAAAATGATCCACTGCAACGGGGAAGGATGAGGAAATTATTACTTACCTAACAAAATAATAATAATAATAATTAAGGGTTAGGTAATTAATGGCATCTGGATATCAATACAATGTCTGAAAATTGAATTTACTTTTGAGCAAGCAAAGAAAGATCAAGAAGTAGGAACTCTCTGATTTGGAAGATACAGCTTGAAATACCATGCAAGTTCTGGGTAAATGCTTGAAAAAATTTCCTCCTTTTTTTATTTTTTATTTTTTGATAAGTAAAATTGTATAAAAGCGCTCAAAAGGGGAGCGAAACCCAAGAGAAGGAATTGAGGAGGCAAAATATTTCAAATAAAAACAAATCTCATTATCCAGTTACCTCTTCTGTGTTAAATTAGAATATAGCAGGTCAAAGGGGAAATTCCGTTCTATAGTGCTTTACAAATGTTAAAAGTTAAGTACTAGGATGCCAGTCAAAATCATTTATTCATCAGTTCATCCTTTTCTGAAGTCCTCAGCACCATCTTTAATATCTAATCCATCCATAACGATCATTTTCAGTGGCCCTAAAGAAGAGGGCCGGATATTTTCTCCTTCACTCTGAAAAAAATTGTTCATAATTATAAAACAGCAAAAATCCTGAGAATTCTCTCTTTGAACCCAAGTATTTTCATCAAAAATAAAAATAATGTTGAATACTAACTAGTTCTCTGCCTCAATAAAACCCATATAAAAAAAAAAATTTGGATAAAAAAAGAAAATAAAATAAATGAACATGCCATATAAATCTCCTCTGAAAATTTTAGAGTTCTGTAGTGTACTACAATGGTAAGTCACGAACCATATGTAAATCTCCTCTGAAAATTTAATATGAACATGTCATATAACATCAATACATGAAAAACAGGCTTTGGAATAACTAGCAAAAGAGCACAATTTGCTCTATGCTGTTAAACGTAATTAGGAGTAACAAGCACAATGGAATAGACATCGTTATCACAATCAATAATCTCAGCTAATCCAGCTTACTTTCTACCAATCAAGCACAATTATCATTTCAGATTTCCGCAGATACCACTACAATGTTCTCTATTTCACAAACTTATGAAAAAGTTATAATTTGATTTAATAGTGCAAGTATTCCGAGATGAGACTTTTCTGAGCAACTTATAGAGAAAAAAATATATATAGTGACTGCTTACAACATTTAATATTTGACATTGTTACTAAAAAATGACTGTTGTTAAGATTTGAACGCATGTTCTTCCAATTGACAATTCGAGTATTGTAATACTGCCCCAAGCAATGACCACTAAACATGGTCGATAATAGCATATACTTTTCCGTGGACGATATGGATCATGATGTTTCACCACCATCTGACGGGATGCATCCTATAGTAGATTTTCTTTTTACACATTGATTTGAAATTACAATGTATTTCTCTGTTCTCCATCCCTTCGTTGGCTTCTGAAAGAAATGAAACAATACACACAGAATAATTTCTATTCCCAGCATACGATATGACAAAAATGGTGGAAAACTAGGACCATTGTTTTCTGCTTATTATGAAAGTCGTGGAAAACTGACTCACTGTTATCTTGAAAGGCCAAATATTATTCATTATAATAATTCTTCTACCACACAACTTAATGGACCGGAAAATATAGACCAATGGTAGCACAAAGTGGTACTATACTTCTTGGTCAATAATCATCTCATTTAATTTCCAAAAAAATAATAATGATAATAATTATCTCATGTAATTTTGGGGGGACTAACCTGCAGTATGTTCATATTAACGGACCTCTTGGTCAAGAATGGCATGGAAAGACTCATTTTCTAATAAAGATACGACTGAAATATTTAAAAAGCTGGGCTGTAAAACTAGAATAGTCATATACAAGAATGGGTCAGTTGAATTAATACGCCTTAAGTCACTATTCTACAAGGCCAGCCGATCAGGGATTGAGAGCGCTTGGTTTCAGCTAACGGGATCTTCAGATTACAATTCTTCAACGTCGGCACTCCGAAGGACCATTACATTGGAATATTGTTCGGCTATCAGGATTACATAAGGAATTGTTATTAGTCCTTTTCTACAGGAAGTAAGTAGACTATCATCATTATTGCAGTGAATTTCGTTGCAATAAGACCAACCCAGTGACGAGTCACGTGGGAGAGGATTGGAATACCCTACATGAAAAACAGTACTTTGACTAACTAGCACAATAGCTTCAAAATTTCTATGTTATTAAATGTAATTAGGAGTAACAAGCACAATGGAGTAGACATCATTATCACAATCAATAATCTGAACTAATCCACTTTACTCTACCAATCAAGCACAATAATCATTTCAGATTTTCGCAGATATGACTATAATGTTTTCTATTTCTCTGACTTATAATTTGATAGTGTGTTCTGAGATAGAGACTTTTTGGAGCAACTTATAGAAAGAAAATATATATATATATATATATATATATATATATATATATATATATATATATATATATATATATATGAAAATAGAAGGAAAGTTTGAATTTTCTAAAAAGGCATGGCCCAGTTGGTCAAAGGAAATCACAAGTAGAAGATTATTATGTAGATGTAGTAATCAAAGGTTTATATAATCTCAATACACTTGCAGTGATAAAAAAAATCCCTGAAAGAAATTCCACATCTTCAAGAGTTTGATTTTTCTACTTCCCAACTTCAAATTAGCACCGTACATCTTGTTTTTGTGGACTGACTTTAAAGGAAATTTGATGGAAAAAATATCTGCAGAAGCAAAAAGTCTAAGGAAACATCCAAGAACCTTGCACTTAATAATGCATTATACACCCAATCAAAGTAAAAAAAGCTAAGGACACATTCAAGACCCATCCACTTAATGAAAACAGCAAGCTAACTAGCAACTTTTTGCAACCCATCCCTGAGCTTTTACAGGCCCCATTCATGGCTACCAGAAGGAGTATCATACTCTTTTTTCTCGGTTTCTCATTTTGCTTCTTGATTACCCTTTCTTATCAAGAAACAGATACTATTCTACAAGGCCAGCCGATCAGAGATTGGGAGTGCTTGGTTTCAGCTAACGGGGTCTTCAGATTACAATTCTTCAACGTCGGCACTTCAAAGGACCGTTACTTTGGAATATTGTTTGGCTATGTGCAGGATGACATTAGCATGCGAGATGCAGCGTGGGTTGCCAACCGAAACAACCCAATCCCTGACACAACTGGATATCTGATGATGCACAACAATGGCACATTGAGCTTTCATATAGTAACAATGGTCTTATTGAACTATGTTCTCTTTCAACAAGAAGCAACACAAGTGCCACACTGTTGGATCCGGGAAATTTTGTACTAAGAGAAGTGAATTTGGATGGGTCTACTGGGAAAATTTTGTGGCAAAGCTTTGATTATCCTACCCACATGAATATCTAGCATGAGGATTGGAGTCAACTTCAGAACAGGGCATAAATGGTCACTAACATCATGATTGAGTGACAAGCTTCGTGCCTTGGGATCTTTTGCCTTGCGAATAGATCCCAATGGTACAGATCAATTGATTATGTGGTGGCGAGGGAATGTTTACTGGACTAGCGGGCCTTGGAATGGACGAGCTTTTGAGTCCATGTGTTCATCATACCCTGGAGAGAAGTTCGATATTAGATTTGTCTCAAATGAATATGAAAAGTACTCCACATTTTCAACTATACGTCTTAATACTGGATTGTTCTATATAGATTTATGTGGTAAAGTTTCGGAATTGATGCCATCTTTAGGTGGATGTTACAGCATCAATCATGATGACAGGTGTATGAAGGAGAAGTTGCCAGATTGTAGGAACGATAATTATCTTTTCAATCAAGCTTTTACATATTATTCCTCATATTCATGTTATGATTCGAATGAATTCAAGTTGGTTGAAAGCCACAACATAAGTCTCTTGGATGTAAGCCACAACACAAGTCTCTTTGATTGTGAGGACAAGTGCCTGAGGATTTGTTCTTGTGTTGCCTATGCTTATATAAACGATGAGGGAACCGGATGTCAGATTTGGCTCAAAGGAATTAAATTCTACTCATCTGATATTTCTAGTGAATATTCAAGACCGATATATATTCTCAATTCAAAAAAAGGTTAGTTAATCTTATTTCCTTTCTATTAACACATGAAAATTGTTCTATACTTCATTTTTAAAGAAGCATGTAAATTAAACACAACTGCCAGTATTGAATAACGATAATTGTTTGTCAATATTACTTGCAGTAACTGAGTGGTGGTAATGGCTTGCCATTGCAGTAGGAGGAGCTCTAGTTATAATTTTATTACGCTAGTTGTGCTGTTTACGATTGAGAAGGGCAATTAAAGGTAATTTCTCATGGACAAATTATTGAGATTTTCTCACTCTAAAATGATTCTAAATGAAATCAATGTGTATTTCTTTTTGTTAAATCTAAAAGAAAAGAAAGAAACAAAAATTTTATTTGAGCTTGGAGTTCCTACGAAATAGAAGGACAAGAAAAAGGGCCATGAGTTGCAAGTATTCAACTTTGAAAGCATAGTGGTTCCTACAAACAATTTCTCATACACAAATAAACTTGGAGAGGGTGGTTTTGGACCTGTTTATAAGGTAAATTCTAGAGACCTTTTTATCAAAATGATTTGAATATCACAATTCTTTTACCGTGTCTCAGGGCAACTTTCATGATGGGCAAGTTATAGCAATAAAAAGGCTCTCAAAGAGTTCAGGACAAGGATTAGTGGAGTTCAAGAATGAGATTTTACTAATTGCCAAACTCCAACACAATAATCTTGTTAGGCTTTTGGGATGTTGCATTGAAGGAGAAGAAAAGATGCTATTCTATGAGTACATTCCCAACGAAAGCCTCGATTTCTTCTTATTTGGTTAGCAATTTTCAATACTTTCAGTTTTCCCATAACGTTGATTGATTATCCATCAAAAGCTCATATATATGTGTATTCTACATATTCAATGTACAGATCCTAGTAAAAAGTCATCCTTACATTGGAAGAAACGTATCAACATCATCAAAGGGATTGCTCAAGGACTTCTTTACCTTCACAAGTATTCAAGATTCAGAATAATTCAAAGAGATTTAAAAGCTAGTAACATATTACTTGATGAAAAGATGAATCCAAAAATATCAGATTTTGGTATGGCTAGAATACTTGGGGAAAATGAATCTGAAGCAAACACAAAGAGGGTTGTCGGAACATTGTGAGAAAATATATATTGCATCTACAAGTGATGTCACGTGAACATATTTTATTAGTATATCCTCAAATGTTAACAATTTTCCTCAATCATTAATTCAGAAGTTACATTGTCTCCCGAGTACATAAAGGAGGGTAAATTTTCAATTAAGTCTTATGTGTTTAGCTTTGGAATGTTGTTGCTTGAGATCGTAAGCGGCAAGAAGAATCACAGTTGCTATCATCATGAATGCCCACTCAACCTTATAGGATATGTAAGTTCTTTAACTGAATTTTAATTTTGTCTCTAATTTACTGGAGGTCAAAACTATTTGATTCACACTCAAAATTTGACATACCCTGATTTCTTATGCGAAATTAAATTTGTTTCAGGCATGGGAATTGTGGAGAGAAAATAGAGGTTTGGAGCTTACAGACCCAACATTGGACAATTCATATCAAAGTAATGAAGTGTTGAGATGCATTCATGTGGGCCTCCTATGTGTACAAGATAATCCAATAGATAGACCTACCATGTCTGATGATGTTTTTATGCACACTAATGAATCTATGCAACTTTCCACACTGAGAACAGCCAGCGTTTTTCATTGGTGGGAATGAGCTAGAGGTAGAGACCTCCCAAGGCAGGGACCAAAAAAATTTCCTTTAATAATGTAACAATTTCAGAAATGGAAGCTCAGTAAAGGTACCAATGATTACCAGACCAAACATGTTTGCATTATGAATTCATAATTATTTATATTCAGTATTCCAATTTAACAGCATAGTTGCATGAATAAAGTGAATTAATTATGTACCTCTGACCTCAAACAATGCATAAAATCTACCAACAAAGTCCCCCAGTGCATAAAATCTAGAATCCTTAATTTTTATTTGATTTTTGGATTTATTTTAAAATTTCAACAACAAATTACAGATAAAAATTTCCATAGTATCACATAAAGGTTCATTCCTCTGCAAAGTAGGTTTTGTGAACTCAGCAGCACTGGTTGCAATTAAAAAGTAAAAATAAAATAATAATGAAATAAATTTTCAGTTAAGGCCTGCAATGTTGAAATATCATATCACAAGAAACAAAAAAACTAGCCGGTTCTTCAATTAGTTAGAAACAAATGCAAATCAGTTGGCATCGCAATCAAAGGGAGAGAGTATCAGAAAGTATATGAATAAATAGAAACGTACTTTTTGCAGCAACGCCCGGAACTTCTTGATTATGTTGTTGAGCTTGCCATTCTAATTGTTTAGGGCCGTCTTCTTGCTCGACCATAATCCTTGGGAAGTGACCCACTTCTCCATCTCCATTGGGAAACTCTTCCTAAACCAGCGGTTGAGTTGTTCCGTGTTCTTGTAAGTTCAGTTTTGAGTCTTTTTACTTACTAGCCCTGTTCAGCCTCATTTTCAACCATTATAACTTTTAATTTAACATTTAAAAAAAAAAAAATCAACTGTTTAAAATATTATATGATCGGAAATAATTGGAGCCTATCTCCATTTGACAAAAAAAATAATAATAATAAATAAAATAAACTTTATTATATAACACTGACCATTGATTCGACCAATCACATTTGACATTTATACTTATAAGGCTGTAAATCATTTGACCAAACAATTTTATTGTTCATAAGTACAAAATATAAGAAAGTAATTTGTCGGGAGTTTTAACTGTCTTGAAATTTTGTATTCATTATGTTTGGTTTCTTAGACAAGAAAAATAGAAAAGAACAAACAAACAAACAAAAAGTACTTTATAAAATTTTATTTCTTCAAAAATGAACAAGAAAGGCAAAACCGAAAAAATAATATAAAATTTTTAAATTATAATTTTATTCTTCATCATTATTAAATCAATTTAATATTAACATTCTTGGCTCTTATCTCTCTTAATAATGTTATTTTATTTCTTTACCTTTCATTTAATATTTAATCAAATAAAAAAAAACATCACTTCTTCTCCCAGTTGTATTTAATTTCTCCTATAAGCAAAAGTGATGATATCGTGTTTTTTTAGCCGTAAGATACTCCGTATAAGTATGGAGACGAAATAAAAGATGAGGGAGGACTAATGTTGGATTCATTATAGACTTCAACTTTGGAATTTTGAAGTTCCCAAATTAGTCCTACACCTGCAAGTAAACAAAGTTTGTAGGCAGGGTATAACAGTAAATTCAAGCTCCTGACTTTCTTGAACCTCCTCCCCTATATACTTAGATATATAGCCTCTATTTCGGTGGTTCTCGGGGCAATTAATAATTGTGTTAGGGTTGGGGCTCTCTGCGCTTTTTGACTCTTCGCGTTCAGACCAAACCCTAACCTTAGAAAATCAATCATGTCTTCCAAGCAAGGTATTGAATTTGTAATAATTTCTTTTCCTTTTCTTTTTCCTTCGTATTTGAACCTTAGATCTATTAAATTCTTAGTTGATTTCGTTGTAAATTAATGTATAGTCTAATAAATTTTGTGTTCTTGTAGGTGGGAAAGCAAAGCCTTTGAAGCAGCCTAAGGCTGACAAGAAGGAGTACGACGAGGTATAACTGTTCATTTTTTTCATCGTATAATTTTTATGGTTTTTAGTTTTACCGATTGATATATATATAATTGATTTATTTGTGGTAAGATCTCGTGATAATTTAAAGATAGGGATTTTGAACTTTTTTTTTTTCTTTTTTTATCTATTGGTTTGTTCATCTAGAAATATAAACAACAGGGTTAATTAATTTTTTTTTTTTTTTTTTTTCCTTTTGTTCTAATGCCCTCCATTTTTTATTTATTTATTTATTTTTTTTTTTTTGAAGAAAAAGAACGGCAATTTTGGGTTAACGTTTACTTTTATCTTTTTTACCAGAAACTTAAACTATAGCAATTGGGGTATTCTAACAAGTAGCCCATTATTCTCTTATAACCTAGTCGGTAACTTTTAAATTTAAGATTTCTTTGTATAAAGGAAGGGTTCAGGCTCTTCATGGTATTAGCTAATGTAGTATTGAAGTTGATTCGACATGGATGAATTTGGTTCTTCCTAATGAAGGAGAACTGCTGGGACCAGCCCATGGTCCCTAGATATGATTGTAACAATAAGAATGTTGGAATGGAAAGAAGAAGGATGTCTTCACAACATTCTTCTTCTTGTGATCAGGATCAGACCATGAGGGGATGGTTCCATCATGATAGGATGATGTATTTATGGGTTAATCTTGTCAAAAAAAATTCTGAAGAAAGTTTGAAACCAGTCTCCCTTTTTCACCCGTGGATCTACGGGTATATGTTTAATTTGTTAATGCTACCTAAGTCTACTCTTATGATTCGCTAATAGGTGTCACTCCTATTTCCTCCATTACATGTTGATTATTAGCCTTATATCTTCTACTATTTATTAATTTATTTTTGGTTGATAAGTTAGCCTTACATCTCCATAAACTACAGGCCCCCTGTCCCCAAACAGAGAGTGCATGCAAACAAAATTTCTGGATCATATTGGACTGTTAACTGGAAGAGACTTTACATTGTAGTTTGATTTGAAACCTAAATATTATTGCTGCTACTAGCATTTCTGAGATATTGCTTATTTATGATTCCAATTACACTTATTTTTTTATTATTATTATATATATATATATATATATATATATATATATATATATTGTGGAATATATGCTTCTTTGTTTTTTTGAGCTTTTGCATACTTCTTTGTAAAATTAAAATGAGATAAAAAATTTCATGCATGACTACAATTTTCAAATATGTTGAATTTGGAGCGGGTCAGAAGGCTGCTTTTGTTTTTTGACATTACTGATTAATTAAATTCATAAGCTCATCCAATGTAGGGTGACCTGCACTTAGGAAGTTTCATTAAAGGCTTTAATCTGTTTCTTACTATTTGACACATTCGCACTTACCTGCAGGATGATTTGGCTAAGATTCAGAAGAAGAAGGAAGAGGAAAAGGTGAGATTTTAGTATGGTAAATTCATATTGTGCTCGTTGTTCGTTCGGGAATACCTTACAAATTACTTATTTGATAATGATTCACCCTGTGGACAGGCACTCAAAGAACTGAGGGCCAAGGCTCAACAGAAGGGAGCGTTTGGAGGTTCTGGGCTCAAGAAAAGTGGGAAGAAATGAGGGTTTCCCGTGCCTGCAACTTATAATTCTTGTGCTATATTAATGAGAGGCTCCCTCTTAACTTCTATATTAGATGCAACTACTCCAATTCATGCTAAATTAGTTGCTAAACCTTTGTGGGTGTTTCTATGTAAAACTAAATAAAAGTGCTGGAACTTCTTGTGGTTTTGCATATATATGCTTTTTATTTTGAGGTTGATTTGTGAAACATAATCTCAATTATGTTGGTTTAATGTTTGTTTGCTCTTGCTAATTACATCGGAGTTCATATGGCCTTTTATTAGATTCAGTTCTCGAATTAATACTTATACTAGGCAGAGTTGGAGGTAGAGATGTCATACAATTGTTGAATGTTAATGATGATGAGTAACAAAAAGTATTTTGATCTTTAGTTTAGAGCAATAGATTGTTAATTCTGCAACTACATTGTTGGCAAACCTGTGACCTTTATAATGTTTCATATTCTCTTCAAGGTGGTTTGGCTTTTTGAAAAGGATCAAATACTTTCTTACTCATCATCATGAGCAACAGAAATATGATACAATTAAGGTGTGTTTGCAACTTGCTGCAATACCTTTGATAAGTTAGACGTTGGGATGCTATACAACTGTTATTATTTTGTAGCATTGCATCAAAGAGCAAACACGCCTTAATGGCATGAGTAACTAGATATTGTTGCAACAAATGGTGTTTGATCTCGTTTTGGGGTTTGGAAAAGCATCGAAGTGGTTCTCTTCATTTCAATAGCCAATTGATAAGAGTCCATCCTGGAGTGCTCTTACCTGAGTGGGGAGGAACCTTCAATTTTATCATGATAGTTTTTTTAATTACATTTAACTACAGTAAAATAGTTTTTTTTTTTTTTTTAATTGCTATTTGTTTTTTTTTGGTGTTCCATGATTATTATTTCCTTAGTCCCTAAATGAAATATGTGTGTGACATATCAAGTCTTAATGGAGGGTTTTTGGAAAATAGACATATCTTGATTTTACGTTTACAATATTATGGTAAAATGAAAGTATGTTTGCAGTCTCGGTAACGGACTTTTAAAAGAGAATAACGTAGACGATAAGACAAATTTCCAAGAGAGTCATGAAAAATATATAATTTCTAAAAAATATTAGATGAGTAATGGCTTATAGAGCCTATACTAAACAATGTGGGACAAAGAGACTAATATATTTTATTCACCATGGTTGCGATGTTATCTCAGGAATCTTGTGATGCCTCTAGTGTCACCTTCCATTGCATTGGTTTGTGTGCTTAGTTATTTGCTTAAAAAACATTTTCTATATTGCCCTAGATTGTGCAATGCTATTTTAGTCTCCATGTTCAACAACAAAGTGATTATCTTTGTCTAGTAGATCATTAAAAATTATACACGATTTACTCATTGTCGCAATGTGGTTTACCAATTTTATACAGCATGAGGTCAAAACGGACTAATTATTTTTAATATATATATGTATTTCTAATAAAACAGTATTTATGTTTGTAGGAGATAGTGATTTAATTGTGCATACAATTGATGTGTAAGAAAGTATATATTACAAAGTTGAAAAGAAATATTTTGTTGTACAATTATGAATTGTGGAGAGAAGAAAATTATAATAAGTTGAAAAGGTGTGACATTGTTTGGCAGGGATAAAATAAAAAAATAAAAATAAAAAACATTTTGGTTAAAAGAAATTTGTATTGATCAATAGAATAAAAGTTTTATTAATTTGATAATTAATACAATAAACAAAATATAATTAATATGTTAAAATATAAGTATATATAAGTAATATAATAAGACCATCTTTATTGGGCTTCTTCTCTCATTGGTCGCCCTAGACTATTAATTTAATTGTCCTAAGTAGAGGTGTGATATAGGACCACTACTTAATGCCATAAGGATCCTCTCTAGAAAAGGAGAGGTCCTACACACTCACCAACATTGTCCGAGTGTGATATACAACCACTACATAATGGGATCAGGATCCTCTCCGGAAAAAAAAAGGTCATGCACACCCACCAACCATTGAAATAAGACCATATTTATAGGGCTCTTCTCTCATTGGTAGCCTTAAGTGAAGTTAATTTTGGGTGTATTAAAAAAAGAACACAAAAAAAAAATTGTAGCGATTTACATTAAATCTTCCTTTAAAAAAATTCGCACAAAACCACTTCAATTAATCAAGGATTACTCTTAAAGAAACAATTACCAAAATATCCACCAAGGCACCAAGTTAAGGAAGGTTACATATTTTATTTTTTGCATTTTTCTTCTCCTATATATATATATATATCATTATTATATTATATATTTAATTTAGAGATGGATATTTAAGTTATTAGATTACTATGTTTGGTTGGAGGGAAGGATTAAGGAGGGATGGATGAGGCTTTTCGTGTTTGGTTGGAGGGTAGGGAAGAGATGGAGGAAGAGGGATGAAACAATCCAATTTTATCCGCCCAATTTTAGGGGGAAGGGAGGAGAGAGAAAATGAATAATTACCTACAATATAAAATTTTCAATTTTAACCTTAGAGAAAATGAATAACTACCTACAATATGAATAACTATCTACTTGTTATTATTTTATACAGTTAGGATATATTGGTAAAAAAAATATAAAAAATCTCTTTCTCTTCCTTCCAACCAAACAAAAAAAAGTATTACCGTATCCATCCTTTCTATTATCCATTCCATTCAACTAAACAAAAATTGGAGTATACACCTTCTGTTCCCTAGGGATTTCCCATCTATCCATCCCTCTATTTCTTCCATCCATTTTTCATCCCTTCAACCAAACGAAGCAAAGTTAGTCCTTTCTTGGTAAACTTCAATTTATTTAAATTATTTAATTCATTCACTGAAATTCTTTGAATCTAAACATAAATTTATCATTTCTTTATCATCATTACCATATTCCCCCATACGAGTTGTCCGTCTTTAGTACTATCCTCTCTCTCTCTCTCTCTCTCATATTAACCATTTTTCTTTTTTGGATGTCTAAAATTAATTATCCCATTTAAAAAGTTAAAAGCAAAATAAATGATATATTTTTATAATTACCTTTTTAAGTTTTTAAAAATTTCTCAACTTTGTAATATACTGAATTTAAACTTAAAAAGAATATACAATAAATTAATTGCATGTTTCGTTAAAATGTAATTACTGGGTTAACCCTTTAAATTTAAATATACATATTATCAAATTGAAAAGTTTTTTAAAACTTACAATCAAAATGGGTGATCAATAGTGGGTACCACAAATATGACAATGACACTGCCTAAGACAAACAGACAATAATTTAGAGTAAGAAATCCAACCCACTAATTATTAATAACTTAAGTGAAAACAATACGCAGGCAGCCCGTCTCTATGGAACCAACTCCTTTGGATCCTGATAGCTCTAAATCCATGATTGATCCAGCAGCCTACGGCTGGCGTCACCACCCACCACCACCACCACCACCACCACTGAAAACAATTCAGGTTGGGGGACTCAAAAAAGCTGGTTTGCCCACTAGACCCACCAGGACATGGGTCCGCGACGTGTGAACCGCTAATTGGTCCACGTGGCATCCTCCCTGTTCACCTTTGGAAAGAGCAGGTTGGCCGTTTCCTCTCGGTCCACAATCCCTACAAAATAGCATCGGTGGCTTTTGTCTTGGTGCCTTTTTGGAGAGAGACAAGATTGTGGGGGGTGTGGTCTCTAATCCAATTCAAGTCCTTGCATTTCTCCCCTCTCTCTCTCTATCTCTCTTGCTTGTAAGAACAAATAACATTTTGTTTGGAGGGTGAGAAAGATAATAATTGAAAATCCGTGAGAGCTCCTACCAGAAAGTGGAAACACTCTGTTTCTGAATTGGGCAAATCTTGGATACTTGATATATTCACACACACACACACACACACGTATATTCAAGAAAGGTAAGACAGTTAATAAGGACGTCGTGTAGATTACCTGCGTCTGAAATCCCCCTTTTTTTTCTCTTTTTCATAGAGAGATTTCTGATGGGTTGATTCATGTTGGTATAAGTAATAGAGAGAACAACTTTTGATAAGGTAGTTAGGTGCTGTCTATTATTACTATAAAAAAATAAAGAATTGTTGTTGTCTTTCTATATATAAAGGGTTTGAGTTGTTTGGGAATGCTAGTGAGAGCAAAATGGATTTCTGGCCAGAGTTTCTTGCTAGCAGTTGGGGAAAAGAATTTGTGGCTGGTGGGTTCGGCGGCATGGCCGGAGTCATGGCCGGCTATCCGCTTGATACACTCAGAATCCGGCAGCAATCGTCGAGCAGCGGTTCCGCCTGCAGCATCCTTCGCAACGTGGTTGCTAGTGAGGGACCCCTTGCCCTCTTCAGGGGCATGGGTGCACCCCTAGCCTCTGTTACCTTTCAGGTTCATTTGTTAGTCCATTCCATCTTTTAGTTTCTAAGTTCTTGTTTGTTTATAATCTTTGATGACCTAAACTTTTCTTTAAAGTTGCATATAAATTCCCATTTTGATACAAGTTATGACTATAAAGATCAAACAAAGGGTTCTCAACATTACTGCAGCTTCTGGACATTGATTGTTCATGAGAATATTATAGAATCATTATGTGGTTTGTCCTCCACTCCTTGTGGATGATCCTAGATTTGTTTTATGGTAGGGTCTCTTTCAATAATTTGTCCCGACTCTTATGGTCCAAGTCAAGTGCATGAACAAACTTTGGATCAATAATCAATTGATAAGCACAAGCTACCTATCTTTTCTAGAACTCCAGTAAGATCACCTACCGTAGAAAAGAGAGCCTACAAATAAAGTTTTTCCCAACATGGACACGACTTCACGCACTAGAGAACCAAGTGTCCTTGCCTCTATTAGCTAAAGAAGTCCCAAAAAGGCCACAACTTTACTTGGCCTATGGGTCATTAGAGTGGGGTATTAAGAAATACTACCTTCAGATTGTTGCAATGTCTTTTCTTGAGCAGAATCTGTTCTATAGGCTTGTTCCTGAGGAGACAGGAACCTCTCACACAGGCGTTATATATATATGTGTGTCTGTTAATTTTGTTCTTATTAGAAAGTATTTCCATGATAAACAACTATGTTTGCACTGCAGAATGCCATGGTTTTCCAGATTTATGCTGTCCTCTCACGGGCGTTTGACTCGACCGTTCCTGCTACGGACCCTCCATCCTACAAAGGGGTTGCTCTAGGAGGATTTGGAGCAGGGGCTATACAGAGCCTAATACTCAGCCCTATTGAACTGGTGAAAATCCGCCTCCAACTACAGAGCAAAAACCATAGGAGGCCCCAAGAAGCAGACTGTCATAGAGGTCCGGTAAGTGTTGCCAGAAGCATAGTTAGGACAGAAGGTTTGAGGGGAATTTTCCGAGGTTTAACTATCACCATGCTCAGAGATGCACCCGCCCATGGCTTGTATTTCTGGTCATACGAGCGTATGAGAGAGAAATTTCACCCAGGCTGCCGAAAAACTGGCCAAGAGAGCGTTGATACAATGCTTATTGCAGGTGGTCTTGCAGGAGTCGCCAGTTGGGTTTGCTGCTATCCTCTGGATGTAGTTAAAACCAGACTTCAAGCTCAGTCAGAATCTTCCCCATCAAAATACACAGGAATTGTTGATTGCTTTCACAGGAGTGTAAAAACGGAGGGATACAGTGTGCTATGGCGTGGATTAGGAACTGCAGTTGCCAGGGCTTTCGTAGTGAATGGAGCCATCTTTACTGCTTATGAAACAGCTTTGAGGTTCTTGTATAACAATAAGAATCATGAAAGCATTCAAGCAGACAATAGAATTTAGAAGAGATTGATCCCCTACCCATAGAAGATTCTATTTTACACAGCAAATGAAAAAGCTCCACAGTGGTAGTTCCAGAGCAAAAATCACAGGAACATTCAGAAAGAACGGCCTATGATCCCAGTATTTTGTAATTTATGCATCCAAGAGACATTTACGCAGTTGAGAACAGAATCAAGAAGGAAGCAATGGAAGGCAAGGTGTCGTGGGACTGATTAAAGCAGAATTGGTGTACCTATTAAGTTTTTAGGACACAATTGATTGAATCGACAAACTGGCAACATAAAAAAAATTAGCTTTGTCATGCCTAGTCTTTAATTATATCAAAGAAAATCAATTGAGTGAATGACTAATGAATGCTTTGGAATTGTTGCAGGCTCGTAGTTGGATTGACAAACTTAATTTATCTATTCGTTCTCATTTCTATATCTCAACATAAATTGATGCTAGGCAGATAACATTATATCACACTCATAAATGAGTCAAAAGAAAAGATCTAACATATCAACTCTACTCTATAAGAGACTGGAAAGAGTCCTGTAGGTTTAAGGACAGATGAGATGAAAAATACCAGCACGTTCAAATAGTTGCAACATCCTGTAAAACTGTCCCAACAATTGAAAATATTTGGACCCACCATCAGGACCCAGCTCAATCATGATCTTTGTAACGGTAGACTTAACAATGTCCATCCAAAGAGTGCAACACCAGAAGATCTGAACCACAATGTTCTTAATTGTTTTCCCAAAACTTCTTCAAATTGTTTTCTGGACACCACTTCTACATTTTTCAATCAGAACTTCTCAAAGATTGCTATTTCAGCCCTGATCCTAACTTGGCATAACTTCATAGAAAGTTAGAAACCTGACTAAATGCATCTACTGATACTTTTGAAAGTATTTTTGTTGCCCATGCACTAGGACCTGTTAAGATAGTAGCCAGCAGGGTTTGCTGCTGCCTGCTACCCTCTGGTTGTAGTAGGAACCAGGCTTCAAGGTCAGTCATAAATCACGATCTTTCCCGGGCAAGATACAGTGTGTTTGCTAATTGCTTCCACATACTTAAATGCACTTTGGCAAGGGTTAGGAATTGCAGTTGCAAAGGCTTCCTTAGTGAATAGGGCAATTTTTACACCTAATCAAACTGCTCTGAAAGCTTATTTAACAACAAAATCAAGCATTATCACTGTAGAAGGCCAAGAAAACATGGACATGGAAGTGTTTTGTGCTTTACTATATAAAGGTGACAAGTAGGGGGCGAGGTCATCATATCCATGGGCAGATCAAGGCATATTAGCTTGCAAAAGAATGCATGTTTACTAGATGGTTTGTAGTTGGTTAACAGGTGATTGGTTTGCAAAAACCACGAGCTTGATTTGAGGCAAGCTCGATTTGACTCTTTTTGTGGCCCTCCTGTGGAGGAGGATACAATTGATTTTCTCGAATAAATTGATCACAGCCCATCGAAGAACGTCTTCTAGACATCTAATTCAGATTTATATAGAAATATATCTGTATATGCATCAGAAATTAAGAGTATTAAGACATATTAATCCACATTACTTGTGAAAATAATGTATCTCAAGACGAACAATTTCTAATATATGCAGGCAAACTATGTATAAGAACGATAATTTATTCTCATTTCAGTACTCAAAGTCTCAACACAAACTGTGAGCGCCGGAAACATATTATTAGATCATATAAGATAATATTCACGGAAAACAAACACAAAATTGGGACATATATCATCTCTAAACTCTCTATACATTACTGTAAGACACACTCTATATGCTTAACAACACAGAAAACAAACACCTTCGATGATTTTTGGATCAATAGGTACCTCCAGTAACAAACTGTTCGACCCTGTCCTCGCTGAGATTGAATCCCGCCATAGCCTCATCCAACCCACTGCTCATCTCCACCAGCAACTGCGGATCATTGTAGTTCCTGACAGCCTGAACAATCGCCCGAACTCGCCTGTAAGGGTCCGAATAGCTAAAAATTTCGGGTCCCACGAACACGCCGTCACAGCCCAATTGCATCATCAGCGCCGCGTCCGCCGGCGTGACTATCCCACCGGCAGCAAAATGCACCACCGGAAGCCTACCCATTTGCTTGGTTTGTGCCACAATGTCATATGGCGCAGTTATCTTCTTCGAAAACGCAAACAGTTCGTCTTCATCCATGTTCGTCAAAACCCTAATATCACCCATCAATTTCCTCACATTGCGAACAGTATCAACAATGTCTCCAGACCCAGATAGATCCCCTTGAGTCCTTATCATCGCCGAGCCTTCTCTCACTCTCCTCAAGGCCTCGCCGAGATCTCGACACCCACAAACGAACGGTACACGGAAATTGTGTTTGTTGATGAAATTGTCTTCGTCAGCCACTGCAAGAAGCTCGCTCTCGTCGACGTAATCAACGCCGACGGATTCGAGGATTTGGGCTTCGACGAAATGACCGATGCGGACTTTGGCCATGACCGGAATTGAGACTGCTCGCTTGATTTCTTTGATGAGAGATGGGTCAGGCATGCGAGAAATGCCTCCTTGAAAGGGCTGCGTGACGATGACACAGCAAGCTCCGGCGGATTCGGCGATCTTGGCCTGGTCGGAGTTGGTGACTTCGAGAATTGCTCCGCCGCGAAGCATTTGGGCGAGTCCGACCTTGAGCGAGAACGTGTTCGTCTTGGTGTCGGTGATGGCGCTGCTGCTATAGAGTGTAACGGCACCGTCGTCAGCCATTGTCAAGTGTTTGTGAAAATGCCCAAATGAGAGACTAAGCCAAAACAAATCAAAACCAAGACTGTATCGATTGAGCTTCGTCTTCTAGGTAATATGTATATATAATTATATATGTATATAATGTAAGAAAGAGAATATTAAAGAGAATGAAGAGGAGACGGTGGTGTTGGGTTAGCTCGAGAAGCTTCGGTCAGGTCAGGTCAGTCAGTTGACTGTTTGGGTCATGCGGGGAAGATGTTAGAAAGTTCTATTGTATTCCAAAGAATCAAAATTTTTGACCCAGAGGCGTGTTTGGGTTTTATGCGCATATTCTTTTTTCCGGAAGAAAGCCTTCTACTTTAAAATTCTAAGAAATAATTGTATTAGACTACAATTAAAATTATTTTTAAAACATTAAATTTAACTTTGATGGGTTGAAAAAACATAATAAACATGTTGAAAAATTACTGTGTTAAGAAAGAGTAAATGTGTTAAAAATCAGTAGTAAATTTGATGAATGATGTTAAATTACAGTGGCATGCTCTTAGTTGTCCAAGTTATACACAAACATACTTCCTTTTGTTTTAAAAAATTAAGCACTTTTTTTTTTTTTTTTCACCAGTATAGAATCTACATTTCGAATTAAGTTTATTCTAATTAATCTTTTAAAATATAGATCCATATTTAATGCTAATTTACACAATATGATCTTAGCGACAAAAATTCTAGCTATGTTATTAACAGGCTAAGTTTGGGATGGAACACTACCATGCTAAATCATTTTCATGGAAGATTTATTTTCTGGACATGCATTGTCCCAACTCAACTCAAAGTTAAAATGTGTTTGAGTTGAACAATCAAATATTAAAAATAAAAAATAAAAAAATTGAGATAAATTTAGGAAACTACTAAATGCAAATAAATATTTAGCAATGATAATCATAAATTTTGTTAACTTTGCAATTGCATATATAGAAGATCAATAAAATAAAAATCTCAAAAAAGTGTATGTATATATATAAATTATTTTTAAAATTAATAAGAGGTAATTTAAAGGGTCGAGTTGCAACTCTCATTTCCAAACTCACCCCCTAATAGGAACTGAGTTACAAACATCAACCATGATTGAAATCAACTCCAACAACATTAAGGTTTCGTTTGTTTGGACATAAAATATTTTTAAAAATATATATATATATTTTTATTTTCTGATGTTTGGTTGTCGTAAAATATTTACGAAGGAAAAAAATATTAAAATTTAGCAAAAATAATTTATCTATAAATTTTTGACAAGTTATTTTACATGTCCCGCCCGATAAACTCGACCTCAATATCGACGTAAACCTTTACCAAATACAAATAGAGTAAAAATAAAATAAAAAAATATTTTTCAAAAAAAATATTTTATGTTGAAACAAACGGAGCCTAAGAGGCTGTTGAATTTTTTTTTCTTTTTTTTTTTAACACAAGAGGCTGCTGATTAACACTTATTACTTTCAAGTTGCTTTGGACTTTAAAGGGTTAATTACAATGACACCTCCTGAGGTTTGCCGTATTGACGGCCATATACAACTTAGTCATTTTTTGAACAAAGACACCGAGAAAATTTTGTTCCAAATAAGCCCTTAAAACATTGTAAAAGATGAGATTGCCCTTCAATGTTTAATTCATTTTTATGATAAAATATCAGAATTCATGAAAATCAACTTTGCTCTTATATATATACACTATTACATCTCGCCACCCACCAGCCCTACACCATCGTAAGTTCCACCCTTCCACAATCTCACTGCCTCCTTCCTCCCCATTCTTTAATCACCATCACCTAATCCAAGACAACCTAAGAAAAACACCCATTCGATTTCACCCACACCATTCATCACCCACTACTTAGGGTTTCCAATAAAAACCCTCTCCTTATCTTGTGGCGGTGAGCGACGACTGGTTGGAATTGACTATGGACAATTCACGGCAAAGAGCACGGAACAGCAGCGGACGAGTGGCGGGACAGTGATGGGCTCAGTACGGCTGTGGGGAAGTCGGCTGATTTGGCCATGAATGACTCGCGGCGGTGAGCTTGGGGCTTCGCTCAGAAGGTGAGGTCAGCTGAGATGGAGCGACAACAGTGAACTGTGTGTCACCTTCCCTACTCGTTCACTTCCCAGCGTCTTCTCTTTTCCAGCAAGCGCTTCCGTAGCCAACTCCGATGTCTCCAGCGCCGTTGATTTGACGAAGCTCCTACCCTCACAGCGCTCTCCTCATATGGACGTCACTCCATTCACCGCTCATTCACTTCACACCATCGCTCTTTCCGCGAGCGGTTCCAAAGCCAAATCCGACTCTCACCACCGCCATTGGCCTGACAAAACTCCTCCGCTCACATCTCTCACCTCCGATGATCACTCCCTTCGTTTCTTGTTCACTTTGCACAGACCCTGTTCGGAAAAGCAGTTCGGACTCCAATTCGGAGTCCCACGCCAGCCTTAGTTCCAAACAACAAAGTTGCATAAATATTCTCATACTATTCCTCTTCGAACCTGTATGATCTGTGTAAAATTATTACTATTTCCTTTACAATCTATAGACATAGATATATATTCATGTACAGTATATATATGTGTGTGTGTGATTGATTGTGTTAATTGATTTATGTAGGAGCAAGTGATGATGAGATTGGGCCGAGGCAGCCATACGAAATTAAACTGGTGAGAGAAGAGTTCTATTGGATCATGCTTGACCTGCCTGGTTTAGGATCAAAGGATTTGGATCTTTAGGTCGACAAGAAGAAAGATGTAGTATTTGCCAGAAAGTGCAAGAACGAACCCAAGCATGGTACGAAGGAGGCATCTACAATGGCACCATTCCTGGGTGTCCATTGCTGTGCTATATGGACCAAATCAAGGGCGGAGCTTAATCAAGGTGTGCTCTGGCTATCTCCTTTGCTCACGGAATGAGAGCTCGAATTTAAGTTGAAGAAAACAAAGCTTTGATCCATCCATCTTTGATTATTATTATTATTATTATTATTTTTTTTTTTTTTTTTGTGGGGGAGGTGGGATTTCATCAATTAATCCTTCGATTTTATTTGGTTCATTTTCCAGTTCTGTTAATGTGTTTTTTTTGGGATATATATATATATATATATATATATATATATTGAATGCATGAATGTATTTTAAAACTTGTTCTCAGTCTAATCCTTCGAATTCATGAAGTTTTGAGTAATTTATCCAAAGAGCTCGGATTGTGGCTAGCAAATTAAGACGGCCAGAGAGGAAGATCTGGTGGCGGCAGAACAGCGGTGCAGAGAAGAGTCCGATGAGGAGGAAGACGGGCTCGACTGTGGATGTTATGTCCGGTGAGCAAAGACGCCTAGAATCCTTGAACATTGGCAGTAGGTTCTGTGCATTGTGGGTGTGATAGGGTGGTGGTGGGTTCATTTAGGATTGGATGGTGGTGTCTTTGGTTTATAAGTAGGGCATTTTGGTCAATAAGAAAGAATTATATTTGATAAATTGGTAATTGAATGTATCAAGGGACAATAATGTCAATTCACCAGCATTGGCTGTCTTTGTTAGCTTTATCAAACCTAAGGGGGCGTCTTTGTTCAAAAAACGGCTAAGTTATATGACTGTCAATATGACAAACCTCAGAGGGTGTCGTTGTAATTAACCCTTAAAATTATTAGGCGGGTTTATTACTTATTCTTTGAAATAGGTAGAGTATGTGACTAATTGATACATTTTTGCAAGATTCAAGTACCGTCGCAAGGATTATTATAATCAACCCAATAGGCTAAGATTACCGGTAACTAGGCCAAACCGATTCAATTTGAATCGAATGAGGCTTTAATTCTATCTCATCCAATAAATTTATTAGTTATTTATATTGAATCCATATTTGAGGTAATTAATCGAATATACCATTTGAAAATAATATAATTTTTTAATAATAAAAAGTTTAATGTAAAAAAATTAGCACACGGGAAAAGAGAGAAAGGGCAGAGAAGAAAAATAAGATATAATAATAATAAAAAAAAGTTAGAAAATTAGGTAATCAACCTTTTATCAAATAAAATAATAAAGAGAGACAAAATAGATCAAGAAAGGGAGGAAGAAGAAGAAGAAAAATATATATTTTTTAGTAATATGTAAATATTATATATTATAACAATTAATAATTTATTTGTAACATATTAGTATATATTATATATTATATCATATTTTATCAAATTATTCTCAAATTCAAATCCACAACATAATATTAAATTAAATATTTTAATTTATATTTGACTTATATCATGATGAAAATCCATTTCATTGAGATAACAGGAGAATTTCCCTCCAATAACAAATCAACGGCCGTGATCAACCACAAGTATAAGAAATCACTAAAACACTATTGGAGGGCACTCTAGCCGCACCATCAAATTAGTTATTCAGATCTTAAACAGTACTAACAAACTTTCAGTTAGAAGGGCACTTTCGTCATTACGTACTTCTTTTTCCCGCTCTTTCTTGGTGTTTCCCCTTCCTCACACCTCATATGCCTACTGGTTAACTCTGCAACTCAGTTTTTAACTCTCAAAAGAACGAAACCTAGAGAAAGAGAGAGAGAGAGAAATGCTAATAGTGCTCCAACTGTTTCAGATGGATTTTGCAAGAAAACTAAGCTTTCTGGTGTTTGTACTGTGTGTATTGATCTCTCTGAAGAACCGAGGTGCTGAAACAAACAGGGTTTCATTGGATATGGATTTGATTTCCACAGTTTCATCTTCGTATGGGTCGATTTTCTTGTCGTCCAAGCTCGAAGAGTCTGGCAAGAACCGATCGCTTGAATATGATTTCTACCGCGAATCGTGTCCACACGCCGAGAAAATCATCCGATCAATGGTTCATATTCTCCACAAAGTACGGTCTGATGTCGCTCCTGCACTGTTGCGTCTGGTTTTCCATGATTGCTTCGTTGGGGTAACCTCTCTTCTTTCTTGTGAATCTTGATCTGTGTTTCTTGTTTCGTTCACAATTTGATCTGTGTTTTATCTGTTTTCTGTCAAATTTCCACAAAATTTCCTGTGAAATTTGTGATTTCTATCTGTTTGTGAAGTGACCCTTCCTGTTCTCTGTTGTTCAGTTTGATCTGTTTAAATAATTTCTAGTTTCGTACAATTTCTTGCATGTTCCAATTGATACATGATTGTGAAGTGATGATTTGTCTTGTTCTCTAAAATTGATTTTGATTTGGGATTTTCTCAATGTTCTTGTGAAATCTAATGTTATTCCAAACTGAGGGTTCATGATGTTTCTATCTGATGGGTTTGATTTTGAATCAAAATTGGTAAAAGGGATGTGATGCCTCTATTTTGTTGGACGCTGCTGATGGAGTAGACAGCGAGAAAGACTCTCCTCCTAACGAATCCCTGAAGGGTTTTGATCTGGTTGACATCATCAAATCAGAGGTCGAAAAAGCATGCCCTGGAATAGTTTCTTGTGCAGATATTATTGTTTTGGCTGCTAGAGAAGGTGTTGTTCTGGTAAATCTCTCTCTCTCTCTCTATACACACACACGCACACATATGGTTCACTGTCTAATTTACTTCTGAATCTTTTGAATGTGAGGGTGGTGGGCCATTCTACCCTCTCAATACTGGTAGGAGAGACAGCACTCGTTCTTTCTCAAAAATGGCAACGAAAGAGCTTCCTAGTCCCCATGATGATCTCTCCAGAATTATTGAATCATTTGCATCCAGGGGATTCCATGAGAGAGAGACTGTCAGTCTCTTAGGTATTGAATTTTCTCTCTTGTTTTTCTTCCCTTGTTCCTGGAATGAGAAATATCTGGTTTTCAGTTTTGTGATTGGTTGGAGTTCTCAGCTTATTATATTGTGTTATTGCAATTCAAAATTTATGTTCTTCACTCTGTATTAAGGTGTAGACTACTGTTGTCTAAAATTGATCTATTTGGATTCTATGAAAGCTCAGGAGATGTAAGAAACTGAAATTTTCATTTCTATTTAGACTACTAGTTTACCAAGGTTTGTTTCATTTCTTGTCAACCAAAAACAACATAAATTATGATATGACTGCAGTTAATGTTCATTTGAACCGGTTCTTTACAGTTCATTATATTCTTGTCAATGATCACTAACATGTGTTTGATTGATTGGACTTTCATTCATATCAGTTGAGTAATACTACTTCTATCCTCTTTTGCTCCAGTTGGATTGTATACTAGTATGCTATTGTTCTTCTTCTGTCCATTTCTCTTGCTTCTTTCTGAAGAAGCTTAGCTCATGGTAGTGGACTAAAATTGGGGTTGGTTTGTTTTGCTTTTGTTTCCTCTGCTGCACAGGTGCTCACAGTTTCGGGATGATTCACTGCAAATTCTTCCTCAACCGGCTCTACAACTTTAATGGGACTGGTAAACCCGACCCATCTGTAGATATTGAATTCCTCGAAGTCCTGAGGTCGAGATGCAACAATAGCCACATCCCATCATCACCATCAGCGTCACCATCATCAACACCATCAGCATTGCCATCATCAACACCATCAGCATCACCATCAGTGTCACCATCAGTATCGCCATCTTCTGTGAATGGCTCAACATTTTCCTCCAGCCTGGTGGACCAAGCAATGAATATGGACTATGAGGGACGAGGATCAGGTTTTGGCATGCTATACTACCGCAGTCTTTTGCAGGGTAGAGGAATCCTCTATGCTGACCAGCAACTAACAGCAGGGCAAGAAACTGAAACTTGGGTCAGAACATATGCCTCAGACCTTCCTTTGTTTCGACGGGACTTTGCTAAGGCAATGATGAAGCTCTCTGAACTCCAAGTACTGACTCCACCAATGGGCCAGGTTCGGCTCAATTGTTCGAAGGTGACCTGAGAAATGCAGTGGGGCTACACCACTTATTCAGCCCATCTCAAGTTAGATATGTGTGCCTTTTCAATGGCATATTCACTGCTCCCCTCTCTGTAATAAGCAAAAACATGTTGGCACTTGTTTTGTAGAGATACTTTTGGCTACCAGCTTACATATAAGCAATAGTATGCTCATACTTGTTCTTTAAATGGTATAAATGGTGGTAATTTCTGAAAAGCTTGTTTGTATGTACCTGTTACAGAAGCTTGAGGGCTTGCAACATTAACCCAAGCCTTAAGGTGGGTTCACTGAGCCTGAGGCTGAAATGGCTCACAATATCCCATGGTTTCTGATATCGCAACCATGCAATACAGATCTGTTCCATGTCGCACTTGAGAGTTGTCAAACTGGTCCTTGTGAAAGCTGATTTGATTTTTAACAGTAGAATTCCACAAAAAAGCTAGAGGACTAAGAAGATGTGAGGACCAATTAAGATCTGGCTCTTGGACTATAGACTACAACCGTTCATTTCAAGTCTTTTCATGATTAATTTTGAACGGAATGATTGTAAAGCATCATCTGTGGCTTCAGGATTGCTGACTACTGCCCGAATGAAAGCCAAATGTATGAATTCTTGAAGTGAGATCAATGCGCTTTTCACCTATGTTTGTTATAATTAACAGATTGCTGTGAACGTTTGTTTCAAACTCACAATTCTTTATTAAACACCCTAATTTAATTACATATGTGATCACACTGTTTATGTATTTGGATAACATTATTGTACTACAACATAAATGCAGCACATTTACCACTATTTTGTGTCCCTGTATATGTCTTTGTTTGTGTGTGTGTGTGTGTGAGAGAGAGAGAGAGTACAAAGCAGTTCTAAAATTATATGTGCTGCATTAATAGTAATACTTGCTGGTGTACAATGCCACAAAGCAGATCTAAAATTATATGTGCTGCATTAACAGTAATAGAGTCTATTCTTCATTACTGTACTGTTTAAATCAATGCCACAATTGCTTTGCAACTACATTATTTCGTTTTCCTTGAACTGCTGCTATCTTCCTAGAATTGCTCCAAGCAGACTTCAGTGTAGTGTTCGTTGATCTGTGACTGTATAATTACATTGAAATGATCCATTGAAGACACTCTATTAACCTCTCATTTTGTTGAAATTGAAGAATTGATGCAATAGCCAATGGACTTCTCCGTAGTATAATACATTGAAATGCTCCATTGAAGGCACTCTACTGACCTCTCATTTTGTTGAATTTGAAGAATTGATGCAGTAGCCGATGGACTTCTCCATAGTTCTTGGTCAAAGAAACGAGTTGACCTTTAATCCACTGGGGGAGTTTGTTGGTAGGGTGACAAAAGCTTCTTTTCGAGGAATCAGATGCATATCGTGCATCAACTAACAAGATTGCTGCATAATCATTTATATGTCGAATTGCTCTACCTACAACAGACAAGTCAAGGAAAAGCAAAAAATTCAAAGAAAAATCAATGCCAAAACCATGATGATATGATAAATGCTACCAATGAACAAAAAAGAAAAAAGAGAGGAACAAATACAGCTTTTATAGTTTGCAACAACAGAGGCTGGCCAATGCAAGAGGTCTGATCAGAGTTTGCATTGACATTATCTATAAAGAATGTTATATTGGTTGTGTTGAAGAATCTTATGTGGAAAGTTTTGGCCCAAAACTCCTGCACTGGTTCGGGTTACCTTTTGCTGTATTTTTGACAATGGTCAACAGAACTTATGATCTACCCTTTTTTTTTTTTTTCGAGTAATTCACCCAACTTATATATGGTCTTCAATGTAAAATCTATGGTAATTAGCACGTACCAATTGATTGGTTTACAGCTTTCATGCAAAGATTTTCATAATACTCTTTTCCTCGACGCTTGCAACTTCTTAGGATATGAAATCCAACTTGAAAATCTCCATTGTAAGATCCATTACTGCTCAAACATTTGGGGGTTTTACTTGATGTTGTATCTCCGAGACCATCAATATGCTTCACCCTCTCCATCAACTCAATGTCAGATGGGCTAGGGTATGGCAGTCCAACCATGACTATGCATCGACCCATCCCATCACTGAAGTTGATACCTTCTGATATCTTCCCACCCACCACAGCAAGGAGAATAGCACCATTGTGAGGTGCCGGATTTTTTAGATCCCCACTAGACAATGCATCAATCGTCTCCTTATATTCCTTGAGGACCCCTTCCACATCTGTGTTTCTTCTAGGCTCCCTGAGTACCTTCTTTTTCTTCATAATCCTCGCAAGGATACCTGAAGCCTTCCATGAATCATAGACCTGCCCTTCATAATCAAATGAAGAGAAGAACATGACAAGTCCTTCAGGAACCACTGTCACCAAATTGCAAATCAGAAGACCAAGCTCCTCTATCTGTTATTTCAAGCCCATTAACAAACTTTTGTCAACCTTCAATTTCTGGAAGTAAATACTAGAAGAAAATACAAGCATAATAACATTTCTATATACAAGATTAATACCAAAAGATCAATTTCCAGTTGGTTGAAACAATGCATGCCCTTTTCAGTAAAACGAGTATTAAAATGAAAAACTTGATGGTTCATACAGATAAAAAATTAAAAAATAAAAATCATTATAACCGCTTGAAATTAATAAACAATTGCCAGTCAAAATATTAGCACTGAGAGAAAATTTAGGCAGTAATTTCTAAGAGAGTAAAATCAAAGAAAAATGCGATGACTCACCATAATTAATGAGCTTCTGGAGCTGTAGCTAAAATCAAAGGACTGGCCAGAGGGCCCACAAGAAACAGCAACTGGCAAAACACTTTCAGGGGGGACTATATGACTACATGAAAAGAAATGCAATTGATCTGATGGTAGCCATGGAAAGAGGCGCTCCCTTGTTTCCTCTATGGGTTGTAGAGTTCCCCCAGCCAATATGACAGCATGAGCTTGATCAACAATCTATCAAAAGTACAAATAATTTTATGTTAGGGTGTGCAAATCCCATCTATAAACTCTGGGTTGGTTGAATCAGAAGTTTCTGGCAAACCTCAGAAAAGATCTTTTCCCCCGTGAGCATGACATACTTAAGGTATCCTCCTTGTTGTCCAGAACAAGATGGTTTTGTTCTTGAGATTATTATTCGACCATCACCATCATTATTTGTCAATGACAGCAACATATCAGCTAATGCTCGAAAACCAGATAAAGTGCTTCCTTCCTCACTGTTTTCCCCACAATCTCCTAGTGTTGAACGTTTTTGCAAGCTAGCAGCTTTATCTCCATACCCACTGACCTGAGGGACGACATATGTCAACCTTAAAAATGGAAATGTAAACAAAAGGATTGGGATGCACTTAGTGACACAAGGCAACATGAATAAAATAAACAATAAAAACAAGCATTCACCTTGTGGATGATATTGCTTTCCTTTAGATATTGTAACAATTTGACCAAGTTTATGTTGTCAATATTGAGAGAAAATAAGAATTCGTTGATGGCCATAGAATACTCATGGGGACCTTTTGCTCCTGAAGCTTCATCATCATCAAAGAAAGGATCAGCACAACTTGCTTTGCTTTCACTATTTAGAATTTGGAGAAAAGCCCGAGTGAGGACCATTAGAGTTTGAATATATCTTCTATTGCCAGATCCTAAGAGGTTGCGAAATCGTTCGAAGTATCTCCCTAAGTGGGAATACACATTCTCCAACTGAAGAGGAAACAGATCAGCAATTAAAAACTTTTGGAGAATTTAGTCAACCAAAAATCTCCAATAATCAATGTCAATTACTAAAACTTGCAAACTTACTGGGAGAAGAAAAAAAAAAAAAAAAAAAGATCTTAAACTTGCAAGTGAAGTGAAAGATTCAAACCGAAAATGTCATTTAAGTTGAGAATGAAATGACTTTCCAATAACTTTTTGGATCAACTAATTTGGCATAAACAGTTCTTAAAACATTACTCAAAAACAGTGCTTAAAACACAAAAACTATGAAGCACAAATACGAACATGGAATACAGGTAAGATACAATACGGACGCTGCAATATGACAAATCTTGAAAAAATAGACATAGACACAACAAGGATAGATCAATAAGATAATAATATAATATTAGATATGCAAAAAATTGATTTTTACTCACCTTTATCCACTATCATGAATGAAATCACAAATTTGGAGCTTAGAGCTAGATAAATATATAAATATATATATATATTGTTTTTCTAAAAGTTTATATTATTTTTCTATTAACCCATAATATGTTCTAAAATTGCAATGAAACCACTTCTTATAAAAAATAATTACAAAACTACCACTATCGTGTCTTGAAAGTGTCCTAAACATATTTCCGTCATGTCCCAGCCGTGTCCAACTAGGGAAAAAGTACTCACAACTCCAGGACACTTCAAGCACTGTCGGACACATTCTCAGCTGTGTACCAGGTGTGTCCGAGTCAGACACGTGCCTGACACTGCCACTGCACGATTGTCAGTGCTTTCCAGAATAAAAATGTATGGTCAACCAACTTCCAGGAAACCATAATGACAACTGCAGAAATTTATAAGTAAGACTTCTTTTATTTTCTTTTACCTGAGACAAATTAATTTTCGAGTCATACATGCTGATAAGAGAGTCAGCCAGATTGTGAGCCTCGTCTACTATAACAATGTTATCCTTTAGATTTAAACCAAGCGATTCACGTGATGATTTTGAAAGAAGAGACTGATAGGGAAGAACCACAAGGTCAGCTGCTGAGACTATGCTTCGGGAACCATAATAAGGACAAGTTCCTATCTTGCTTCCAAGGCCAACAAGGTCTTCAATATCCATGGCTTCCTGTTGATAAATCTTGCTCTTAAACTGTTTCTGCAGCTTATGTTTTTGAAGCATTGGGCATCCAGAAGCCTTAGTCCTTCGTATTCTCCTTCCAGAACCTAAATTCTGAATCCAACAGTACCAGTTTAGTGCCCCAAAGACTCAAAGAAAAGAGAAATAAGAAGACATCCAAGTCATACAATGGCTAGTCTACAAAACAAAGAAGATACAGTTCTGTTTAAACTGAAATGGACAATAACATTAAGTAAATATGACAGTTCTGATATGTGAATTTCAGGCTTGTCTTAAAACTAGACCAATAAAGATGCAATAAAATGTAATAATGACAATTTTTTTTTCCCCCTATCAATTCAACACTTCCAACTCAAGTTAAATGTGTCCACAGTCATCTTAAGGAAAATTTCTTAACATAAACCAATATTACAATTTTAGACATATATTGAGTACAATAGTAAACATAGATTGATCAAGATTTAGAAACAAGTTCCTTAATTGAGGAGTCAAACATCAACGATCTTAATGAAATTGATAAATCGCAGAAATGGAGATACGGATACATTGCTTAAGATTCCCTTTTTATGGAGTTAACACCAATAATCTTAATGAAAAACATAAATCTTGTGAAAGTTAGCAAGCAGCAGGACTCATTTCTTCTTATAATTGCTTGAGGAAAATTTGAAATTTTGGAGTCAATTCTATCAAAATGCCAACTTTGACGCACTGTTTACAAAAATTGACAAGGCTGAGATTTGTAAATAGTTTAGATCTTTTGTAGATAACGGGTAATTGGCTCCAAAAGTTGTCAAAATTGCAAATATTTAACCTCTATATCACTAATATCTTTGTGGTTGTGATTTTGAAATGATAATGTCCAATGAGTTTGCATATAAAATTCGCAGTACCAAAGAATAATGAAATTAGTAGATAAAATGATGAATGGAAAGCAAATGCAGTAAAGATGAGCCCTAAAATTGTATCAAATGCAAATCTACAAGAAAGACAAGGTTCAGGAAATCATTGGCCAAAATCCTATAAAAAAAGCTTCAAATTTGGATCAAAGGAAAGCAAAGGCACTTGACCTCCATTTTAGAAATGTTTTTTTTCTTGTTCTTTTGAAGCTCCAAGCACCGTTCATTGATGTGAATCGAGCTCCTAAGCTTCAAAACCTCTGAAACAAAATTACAAAATCTATTTGTAAACATAACAAACTCAAGCGTCATAACTTGCTAAATTTATTTGTATACCTTCATTGATGCACAAATTCTTCCTCGAGCCCAGACATAGAACCTTCAGCTCACTAGCAAAACCAGTCTTTCTCAACTCCTTTATGAACTGAGAAAGCTGTGAATGGGTCCGACTGCAGAAATAGATCTTCAAATTTGCCTCTTCCTCATCATCATCAAATTCATCTTCTTCCTCTTCCTCATCACTTGACGAACTAGTGGAAACTACACCAGCCTTCCTCTTAGATTGCACACCTCCATCACCACCTTCCTCCTCACTTTCATATTCCTCAATTAAAAAATCTTCATCATCCAACTCCCCTGCTTCAGTTTTAGTCCTTAAACTCCTGTTGTCAATCTTGTTATAGAACCCATCTTCTTTCCATATTCCAGAACATCCTTGATTTCTTTTCTTATCGAGTTTGTCCAACCCAAGCCCTGGTTTCTTCTTCTTCTTCTTCTTCACCTTCTTTTTCTCTTCTTGAATATCATTGTTTACAGCAAAGTTCCTCATCCAGTCAGGTTCATCTTCTGAACCAGATTGATGATTATGATTAGAAACATCTATCGTCTCGCAATTCTGTTGTCTCTTCTGATCAACAAGCCACTGTAAGGCACTGCAAATTATACTAAGGGTTTTGCCAGTCCCTATAGAAATGATAGCCCAATATTAAGCCCCCCACAAAAAAAAAAAAAAAAAAAAAAAAAAAAAAAAAAAATGTGTATTTGGAAGCAAAGAACCAACGTCTTGAACTTGGAATTAAAGAAAAATTAGTTTAAATTTTGGATTAATTTTCTTCAATTCCAATTCCAAGGAACCAATTTTATGCTCCAAAACATAACTGAAATCTCTGAAAATGAAGAGAGATAGACGGTCCCAATTCTTAAAGTTGAATGATGAAAACATATAGTTGCGGACTAATACAGTGTAAGGATAAGAATAGAACAAAATTCTAAATTGATTCAGTCGGAGCAAAATTATTATAAATATATTGGGCATAAACTGGTAAAAAAAATCTGACACTTTATATATAGATATATCGATATATACATGTGTAGAGAGAAACAGTTACCAGTAGGGCTTTCGAGCATGGCAATGCCTCCTTTATCGAGGGATTGATAGAGAGCGTTCATGAAATCGATCTGAATCGAGTAGGGTTTGAATGGGAATGCTGGGAATTTGGGTTCGCATTGTTCTTCTTCTCTGTTTTTCGTTCCTGTCTTTGCCTCCATCGACGGCTATAACAGTGCCCATATCACTGCAATTTCATACATTTATATGCATATACTGATATATATATATATATATATATATATATATAATATAGGTGTATATAAGCGCCTAAGCATTTTCCCGCGCTAAAGAGAATGAAGGACCAACGCGGGAGACCTAAATTGCAATTGGTCAAGCTGGGTCTCCCAAGTCCTACAGAAAGAAATGGCCCAGCTGCCTTGAGCCTACTTGAACCAATTTATAAACAAAGGTTTGGAGTGATTTTGTTTACAAAAATATATATAGGCAAATTTTTAACCCGACTTCGTTGTGTGATTGTTATTTTTGGGCTTCTTATATTTTAATGTGTTAAACTAACAATTTTTTTTATTTTTTTCCTGAATAATACATATTCACAAATGTTCATTATACACTCGAATACTTATTTTAGTAGTGTCTCTTGGCATTTTAAAATAAAGATAAGTAATGTTATTGAACAATCAAACAAATATGTATTGTCCATGTTTAGTGCAAAGAAAAAAATTTGGATCCAAAGTAAAACTAATGATTTTTAAGTTAGAATCATACTTTTGAAATTTTAAAAGTGAGTCAAATTTTACAGATCATATTTTGAAGGAACAATGTAATTTGCCAAACATCCCTACTTGCCTTGTTTGGCAAATTACATTTTTTTTTTGTTACTTCGATATCGTGTTGTTAATAACAATGTTATTTCATCAGTCTACCTTGAGACTGTAATGAGTCACAATTTTATCAATCTACCCTTAATTTTTTAACATTATTTTAATTGGCAAGTCACGACACAAAGTACAATGTCCACAAAAAAAATGCCATATATGTTAGGTATACCGTATACCATCTTTTCTATCGTGTCTTCTTATTATCTCTAGCATCCAAACAACTCCATACTCAACATACATACGTAAATATACATGAACAAATGAATATATACTACCCAAATATTCAAAATGCCAAACCTAACCACCATTTACGCAGCCGTCAAAGCTAACTTTTCCTCTAGAGGGTTCAAGATCGATCGGGCACAAACCGTTTCTCTTCAACGGCACAGTGATCCCATTTTGTTTAATCACATTACTCGTACTCTCTCTCCTGGGAGAGAGAAAAGGTTAATGGGCCAAACAGGTAAAGTCAGTGGGAGGGTAGTTACGTAATTTCACTATAAAAGAAAAAAAAAAAACAAAAATGGGAGAGGTAGAAACCGTTTCTTCATTGTTGTGGAAGACACCATTTTTTTTTTTTTTTTTTCCTGATTTCGTACTTTGATTCCATATGACCATAAAATGGAGACAATGGAGGTCCATGAATTCATAATTTTTTATAAATTAAAGCCAATCCAAACTAAAATGTAAACGAGGATCCTTTGTGATATATTATATATATATATGAATTTACCATATACCAATCGAAAGAATACTTGCACATAATTCCCTTAAATGCCCTATCAAATGTTAATTACAAATTGGTTCCATCAAATTAAAATAAAGTACCCCCTCCAAGAAGAAAAAAAAGAAAAGAACCGACAATCTGAAATTATCAACAAACCTAGAAAAAAATGTTGCAGGGTGTTGCAACACATATAAAAGAAAAATGAACTATATCTGCCTTTTTTCTAACAAAAAAAAAAAAAAAATTAATGGAACCTGTGTAGAATAATCACTTTGAATCTCTAAAAATTATCTTAGGAAGTAATATCCCAATTAATTTGGCTTATATACTCCAAATTTGTGCTTTTCTTCATGCAACTGCTTGAAGACATAATCCAGCTCCGGAAATGCTGACAAGAGCAGCAATTCAAGAAGGTCAAATGTCAGCTGCTTCAGACATACAGATGACTGCACAAGTAAAGAGTCACACCGATCTGTTAAACAAAACTCACAACCAGAAACACGTGCAAATGTTATTCACTAATTCAGCAATGATATTCAAAATTTTGTAAATGTTAGAATTAATTGGGTGTGTGTATTTGCTTTGAATATCTGCTTCATAAATGTTTTACACAAGAAAGAAGTAAAACAAACATATTCTACCCAACGGGACGGCAATCCGTGGGCTGTGTTAAGTTCTAAGGTTATAACACTATCAAGAAGCTCAATAATAGGAGGAACTTTGTCTGATCAGCAAAAATAAATGATAAATCAATTTGTGGATTATTAGAAATCAACTGCACTTGTTTTTTGGCATGGTAAATTTTCATGCGTTCATAGGTCCAACTTGTGAAAAACATAACCCACACGCAGAAATGAAGTGGTGGGAAGCCACTTTTTAGATTCACACACCCAAAATAATAATAATAATAATAATAATAATTAAAATGAAACACCCTGGCGATCATATGATGTTAAAGGTGACAATTAAAATAGAATAGCTTGTTTATGAGGATGAAAATCACCTGAAGAAAGTAATAGAGATCCTTGGCACATTGTTCATACTCCTTACGACCAACAAGACCTACAATAGGAGCTGGTGCATGATCTGCTTAAGCAAGGGGCATGTCAATACAATAAAATAGTGCCTTAAATGTGGATAATAAATAGTATAAAATGACACCTTAATGCAGATGACAAACTGGATATGCATAAGACTAGTAATATTACCAAACATTAGTTCGTATACAAATTTTGAACGACGTTCAGCTTCCTTCCGTTGCTCCTCATCCAGTTTCTGGATGACCTCATTCTTTGGTGAAGATAGCGGTGTGGAAGGTTGACCATGAGGTGAACATTGGGCTGATGGATTCCCGGAGAGGTTTGGCCGTTGACGTTTTGGATGCTTTGTTATGAATATTCCATCAGGCCAGAGTATCTATATGAAGCAAATGGGAATCAGACTGGACATAAAGGACGCACATCTAAAAATTCATAAAAAGATTTGCACAAGGCATAGATATCCCTCTATTCGAAAAAGCACTCACATTTACATCAGCTCTCTACAAATTTAATAATATAAAGTCAGTTACAAATTATTAAATCCTACTATATCATAAAACCAAATTAGCAACATCATGGTAAACCTTGTATAGAAATATGCTTCCCCATGAAAATATATTAAGTTTCTGTGCCGATGTGATGCAATGTCAAGGTTCTGACAGTTCTAATCAGGGAGTGAGAAATTTTTTTCTTGCTTTCCTTTTTCCTTATTCTTCAACACTCAACACTCTCCCCCCCAAAAGCAGGAACTTTATCCGAAAAGAGGAAGAATAGAAGACCAAGTGATTTCTGATGCCTCTTAATAATCCAATATAAGTCATAGATAAAAAGAACGGCAACAAAGAAAACCTGTTCAACACGTCTGATTCCCGAAGCAACCACTGATCCCTTGCGCAAATGTTGGATTTTCTCAATTAGCCAATCATCAAAGGCATCACCCATTCCAAGTTGTAATACCTGTTTGGCCACCCAGAAAGCCTTCCGCCTGTAGTGCAGGAACAGTTAGCATCAAGAAAAATCTAGCAAACTGATGAGCTCTGGATGTGAGTTTGTAGACTTCAAAACCCAGAATATTAACTGGGAAATAATTTGACAAATTAAATATTAGGTACCTGATCCATCCACCATCTTGAAGCTGGAAAATGACATCAATCAAATCTAGTATGGGGACACTTAAATTTGGCGGCACCCACTGCATTGAATAACACAAATTACAAGACCCGTGTAGAGCACAAACAGGCAAGAAAGTGACATACTATCAAGAAGAAAAAGAACAAAAAATCTCTAGAAAAAATGTCATATCAGTAACTAAAAAACTACACAACAATTATAAAAATAATGGTATCAATCCGTTTGAAAAGTTGCACATAAAATTATCAATAGAGAAAAATAAATAAAAAAATTAACAAGATTCGATAACATGCTCAGTGATTACCTCGGAAGGGAAGGTTGGATCGGTAGCAGAATCAATTAGTGACTCGGATGATACTATTAAACCATCACCATCACTTCCCTTTACCGTCTTCCCCAAGTTTCTGGTTGCAGTTTTATTCATTTGCACCAAATTATCAGAGTCACTACCTGAATCCTCAAATGGCTTCCCAAGATCTTTCAAAGGCTTTTTTGATGGAGAATGAACTACAAGTTTTGGGTCCAATCTTGACTCATCAGCCGCAACATTATGCTTCTGTATTGCAGATTCCTTGATTTCCGTACTTGAATATTCTCTTCTGGGGGATAAGAGCTCGGGTAAGCACCCAGCAATATTGTTAACCACTTTACTTTTTTCACGTGCTGTATCATCCAGATCAACTAGAAAATTTCATAGAAACATGAGACAGTAATTGAAGAAAGAAAAAATATTAATAGCAATAAGAAATGAATTAAGTAAATTCAAAACATTGCCAAGAAACAAAATTCACCTGAGAATGTTTCAATGATAGATATAGAATTTGAGAATACATATGTCTGCAGTATGCAACATGAAACAGTCATAAATTCTCCCTAAAGGACCAGCAAATAATTCACGAGAAGAAAATACCAAACCTGAGAATCAACACTAAGGAAGTCCCAAACTTCAATTGATCTTGAAATTGTTGGAAGCTGCAGAAGCTTCTGAGGAAGAGCAAAATATGAACTTGTCATTGAAGAATTGACAACAGAATAAATGATGACATATCAATGAACAAAATCAACTTCACAGCACGTTGATTACCAAAAGTAGACTTATTTCTAATAGGCAAGCCACACTAAAACCAGATGTCAAGTCTAAGCATACATATTTAAGCCAATGGCCCTAATATAGCAAAAACAAACATGAGTATTTTAATAAACCGAATGAAAAAATAAAAAGCTGATTTTCGCAGTACTTATTAAGTGCTGCATGCATTAAGAAACCATTAGCAGTTGAAGAACAAGCATTTCAGTAAAATAAGAAAATGAGCCATCATGTCATAATAAAATCAAGTCAAAAGTATTAAACTTGGAATTTGAGTTTCAAGCTATATGTTACTATTTAACCTAAAAAGCTACTACTTTGGTCCCATGATTAAGATTTATCTTCCAACAAAATTCCCCATTGTCTGCCCAAACTTATGACATACAATTTGATTGTATTGCCTAACAAAGGAGTATTGTGGTATTCACGTGCTAAATTTTTACAAGGACAAAAACATTCTGTGACATCCAAAAAAGGAAAGGAGAACAATCTCTGTGAGACCAGGGAGTCCGTCCATCCTACAGTTGAAATTTCAAGTGAAAGTATGACCTTCAAATACTTGTCAAGCAATTTACACCGCTCTCGAATGACAGGCACATCAAGACCTGTTGACAGAAAATGCTTAGGTGGCAAAAGAAGATTGTACTCTGGAAACTCTTTAAGACGCCGATGAAGTTCCTCAAAATGTCGAAACCTATAAGAAGCAGCAACGGAGTTCAGTTACAAGATCAGGCTTTTAAAAAAAGATTAAACATTGCACTATAGTCCATTAACAAATTACAGTATTAAAGTAAGGCATATAAAGGAGAACAAAAATTAAAGAAGAGATGAATGATGAAGCAAAAAAGCTTATTATACTATCATTAGTACCTTCTTTTGATAGACCAGCAATTATTATTTACATCCGTAACAGATATGGAATAAACGGCAAATGTTCTAGAGCCACTCTTCACAACATTGGCACCCAATACCTGCAACAGGAAATGAGATTGCATCCTTTACATGTTTCAGTGTATCAGAGCAAGATCAAGGATGCTAAAACACATGAAAAAAAACTAAACATTATGTTAAGTACCTCACATCTTAACTTCAAAAAGGAATCTCCCAACAATGAGTTTTTTGGGGCATTAGTAGCCAAAACATGCCTTTCAGGCACAGAAATCAAAGACGCAGAGGAAGAAGCAGTTGCTCCACTGTGAATTCTACCCAACATTTCCGTCTCAGAATCATCAGAAGAGTCCTCCGATTTCACCTTTCCTTTAGAGGAATTCAGAATATCCTGCCCATCCCCCGATAAGAAAGTTGTTCTCTCAACCTCTTGCCAGACGTGCACCTTCTGACTGCTTAATCTAGACCTCTTCCGCCCAGACTGTGTACTTGGCGTTCTTTGAGAATGAACAAGCCCTTTAACTGCCTTTCTTGTCTTATGGCCTTCAGAACTTTCAAGTGGATGATGAATGTGAGAAACAGAAATATTTCTATTACTTTTACCATCCCAAACTTTAGTACCAGGAGAATCAAGTCCTGTTACGGTGCTGGTTTCTTCATCTTCAGAAGTATAAGAACAACTGCTCCCTGAATCCTCCTCCTCCACACGCATGTGATTGTGATCGTCGTCTTCTAGATAAGAAGTAATTGAAGAATGACTTGATGTGTTCCAACTATGAACAGCACTGGTATCCTTTTCTTTCTGCCTAGACAATGCCTTCGAATGATCCATTGGTTTAGATATTTTTGCTGAAGAACTTTGTGAGACTGGATTGATAGACTGCTTTGCCTTGTCCTTTCTTCTGTAATCTCTCCCTTTTGTCCACATATTTTCAAAATGCTCCGGAGCAAGTGCTTCAGTCTTTCTACGGGACATCAAATCTAACATGTCCCCCCATTCTCCTCCAGAGTGATGTCGTTCAGTGCCCTTTCTACCAGCAGTCTGGGAGTCTGATGGCAAACAAGACCAAGAAAGAGTAGACCGAGCATCAACAGAAAGCAATGGATCCTTTGAGAGTGGTGTTCCATTCACATTGCCCGTCACAAGTTTCTCTGCTGCAGTTTTGGATTGATCCTTTTTTAACTGCACAAGTTCAACACCTTTAACAGAAGGATCCAGAAACCGAGAAAAATAATCAGATGATATTCTAGAAGACCCATTTGGTTTGGCCTGTGACGCCACTTGTGCTGTAGTAGCTCCTTTTTCAGCCTTGCTTAAAGAAAGAACTAGGGATTCAATCCTTTCATTAATAAACCTGACACCAAAATTGAAGAAAATAAAAAACAGTAACAGCACTTTAAACACAAAAAGCAAAACAAATGGAATAGTTACCTTGGGCTAGCTAGGTTTAACACTGGTCGCATTACTGCACAAGCAAGAAGCTCCCTAACAATATAATGGAACAATGAGCACTGCAGATCCTGAGGCTTGAAGGTGAGAGAAATAAGACCTTCCATCAAATGCTGCAGAACCTACGTATTCAGAACCAAAAGTATAGTAACCATGATCAACCCAGAAAAGTAACATTCACACTCTACAGAACTACTAAGTCAACATTATTTTCACGAATGAAGAAAATGACCTTGTGCTCAGCCTCAGCAGAAAACAAAGCAGGGTGCAATTTGTTCTCGGCATTCAGTACGATTTTGAGTTCCATATCTCGACGTTCAATGGTCAGCAACCCCAATTCCTGCTTCTCAATCTTTGCCTGACTTGCACGGAAAAGCTCCAGGTGTGTGCAAATAACATTAATAATATCCCTGCACCATCCAGGCAAATTGGTTTCCCAGTAAAAACATTTTTTAAAAAATAAAACCAAGTTTTCAGAGGAAAATAGTAAGGAAAAATTGAGTTAGAACCTTGTCAAAAGTTCTATGAGATTTATGTTCCTCATGCGACATGAAATTTCTCCAAGAACGCCATTTATGATCTGCGCCAACTCCTCTGGACCTTGTCTATCAGGTGTTATGCGATTGTACCAGAGATCTGTCACCCACTCAGAAACTAGATGCCTGGTAAACTGATCTATTGCATCCTCAACAGCAGGGGAATTCACTTTTCTTCTCCAGTCAGAATTCTCAATGATGACTTTGGGACCTTCAAAAGGTTTCTTCTGAGAGGAAATATTTGCTGATGCTGATTTGCTCTTGTACACTGCGGCTTTCCTCTGCATGTCAAAATCCAGAGACAAATACCGAAGGATGATAATTAGGAAGGCAGCAGCAGGCAAGTTGACCCAAACTGAGGAGCTTGTCACTGAAATAAGAATGCAGTGAATTTCATGTCATGAGAGGAGAACAAAAGAGGCACAATAAAAGATATACAAAGGCTAATCAGCAAGAAATACTAAGCAACACAGTTAACAGAGATAAGACATAAAGCCTGAATAAAACAACATTGATTCCTCAAAGCTGCATGTCAGAGAAATACACGCAAGGGTTCAGCAAGTTAACCATACAATAAAGCAAATTTTTTTCCTAAGGAAAATTCCCATAAGAATTTGTAGAAATACACAAACAAAACTCCTTTCCATCTCAAATGCAACCCTGTAAGCATAAACTTTGGACAGTCACTGCTTTTTATGAAGTACCATTTTCAATTTGTGGATCTCTCAGTAGATACCCAAAATGTGCGCCCCACGTGGCTCATGGCACATTCCTCGTCATCAATAACCTCAAATAGAAGACCGAAGACTTGAGTTGGGTGCGACTCGGTGATCTCTGGGATCTGAGGAGGTACTTGGTTTGGTGGCTGAAGTCCAAGGCTCGTGGAGCTAACCCTCAACCTAACTTGTAGAGAGAGAAAGACCATTCGACTCTCATTTATCCTACCCTCACCTTACCAGCCATATTGATATTATTTATCTCGTTAAATTATTACCCTTTACCTCATTAAATAATTTCCCTTATTACACTTAACAATTCTACACCCTATAATTGCCTCTTATTACTTTGTTTACATATATTAGTTATTTTCCTTGTTATATTAAACTCATATTATTGTCTCATCATGACATCACCTCATCCTCACTTTTGGCCTACAGAAGGACACTCTAGTAAGGAGGAAAAAACCAGATTCACTAACACCCTCTCACCTATGCATTCTCTAGTTCTCTCACCCCTCTCTTGTTACCCCTAAACCTTCGCCAAGGGAGTCAATGGTGCTTTCACACTGCCATCTTCTCTCTGAAGATTGTCAGGGCTTTCACCTCACTCAGTCCACTCTGGATCTCTACTATGTTACGGGCAACGCCTCATTATTACGTTTACGAAATCAACATCTACACTATCTTTCTTCCATGCTTTTTGTTGGTCAACAGCCAACATTAAGAGTATCTTGTTCTTTGAGAAGCAGTTCCATAAACCCCTATGCCTTCTTACTTTTAAGAGGACCAGGAGCACAAAAAATATTAATATACCATTAGACACTAGATCCCTTCATGTGAATAATGCTAAGGACTAGGTCTGTACTCAATCACAATCACAAGATTTGATATATAATACACTCCCATTAGGAATATTACTTTCATAATTTAAAACAAATCTCACTTATTTTTCTTAAAAGATACAAAAAAAATTACTAAAAATTAAAATTAAAATGCTTTCTATCAAAGGTAAGCAACACATTATAAAAGATCAATTAGTTCTGCAGTCTCGAGAAATCAATGTACAACTAAAAGATTATCAAATGTAAATCATAATATTGTGCCTATAAAGTATAAATTGTAGTTGAGCTTAGTAAGCACTTTTTCCTAAAGCATGTGGCAAACGAAATTCCCATTCTCAGACTGCATACCAATGACAATGTTTTTTATGAAACATTAGCAATCCATGGTCCAGATTGCAATGGATCTGGAAGTAAAAATAAGGGAGAAAAAAATACAAAAGGAATATATGGTAATTTTTTGGATTCCTAAAGGATGAAATAATAGAGAAGTTCCCAGAAATGGTCGTATAAGATAGATGATAGAGGTCAAGGCTTGCAACATGATTTCAATAATTTTCACGAATTGTCAATGTAGATTAATATTACAGGAGATGAGTCATGCAGCATATCGTTTCACTGCAAAACAAGGCGATAAAGATGGATTGCACACTTCCACACCAGTAATGAATGTTCATAACCAGCAGTCCACCCCTAAAAATTCACTGCATGAAAATTTCCGTTTGAACATTGTTAACAAATTATAATCAGGCTATACGGAGCCAGTGCCAAATATGTTGAAAATCATATAGTGCAACCAGCAAGGAAGCTGGTTGTATGTTTATCACACTATTTCAGGACATTTTGAAGGAACGTAAGCCATGTAAATTCAATAATTGAACCTTAACTAGGAAATGTTCCTTCAATTTCCCCTTCTCATTTTCCAATACCAACAAATGCAGAAATAATTTACAGAAAAATTATTAAATAATATTACCGATCTTTTTTAATCAAGAAAAATCAGTCTCCACAATCACAAAAATCATCATTCTCACAGGGTGACTGCGTAGATTACCTGTATATGGGTACGTTTCATAGGGTGCATATATGTATCAAAGCATCACACATATCAAATTCCCAAAAAGGACACATGAACACTAACTATTTTAGGGTGAATTACCCTGACCTCCCCCGGGGTTTGGACGTATTTCCTGTAGATGAAACTTTTGAAAAAATACCCCTCATACCCCGTCAAAGTTAACGTCTCAAACTATGATAACGTTTAATGTGCAATTACAAATTTACCCTCCATTTATTAAATCTTATTACAAGAAAAAGAGAGTATCTATATAAACAAAAGAAAAAAAATGCCCCCAATCTCTTTCTCTCCCTTTCTCACTCTGTTCACACTTCCATAGCTTGTCGCCTGTAGCGCCACCGCCAAAGGCCGCCTTCTCTCTCTCTCTCTCTCGCGTTATTTCTCTCTCTAAGTCATTGCCTCAACCACTGTAATCATTCAACAAGCACTCCACCTCCATCTCCACCTCATCTCTCTCTAATGTCACATTCTCTCTCTAAAGATGCAGTGGAATGCACTGCTTGATCTGATCTACCCACTTTTCTGCAAATCCAAAATTCTAAGCAGCATATCACCGAAAGGCATTCCAATTTATTATATGTCCTCTCCATGTCAATTTTGGTTTTAATTGTCATGTTTCCCTCTTCTTCATTGTATATGAATAATTTCCTGAACAGTAGTGCTGTTGTCCTATTAACCTTCCTGAAAGAGAAGTTGCCTACATCAGGGAAATAAGCTGGCTTATAGTTGACTGAAAATGTTAGATACCAATCATACCATTGAGAATAGGTTTGTTGGTTCCCATATGATTTCTATAATGAATTTGTTTCCTCAGATTTCCAGTTTTCACATTAATTTTGGGGATGCAAGGGAGTTTTCTAGCAACCTCTATGTGATCGTTTATCAATTAGGGGACTTGAGCATGAGTCTTGTGATTATTTTCTTGTTTTTACTGCTATATCTTTCCTCCCTAATTATATGAGACCTTTTTCTTTTAACTGTAATACCAGTGTTCATAAATGAACTCATAAATCAGTATTTTCTCAAGGAAAAAAGTTAAAGAGGGAAAATGATCTTAAAGTTTGGAATAAAGAGGTTTTCAGTACTCTGGTTTGGCGGAAGAATCGGGTTTTTTCAAAGATTGCTGATATTGACCAAATGGAGGGTCGGGGCTTTTTGTCGGATTCCTTGAGATTTAGGAGGGTGGAGTGTCAGGCGGAGTTTGCTGAGATTGCTGTCATGGAGGAGATTTCGTGGAGACAAAAGTCTAGAGCTTTATGGCTCAAGGAAGAGGAGAATAACACAAAAAAATTTCATCGACTTGCCAACGCGCATAGATGGGGCAATCACATTGGGAGGATCCGGGTGAACAGGGAGTTGCTTTGTAAGGAGGAGGATATTTGCAAGGGTATTGCAGATTACTATTCGTTGTTGTTCACAGAGTCTGCCGGTTGGAGACCTTTGCTTGCAGGGCTTCATTTTAATTCTATTTCCAGTGAGGAGTGCTCTGTTCTGGAGAAGCCTTTTTCTGAAGAGGAAGTCTTGACTGCGGTGAAGAGCTGTAACGAGGATAAAGCCCTAGGTCCAGATGGTTTTTCAATGAGATTTCTCTCGGAGTGCCCAGGTGGTTCGAGAGGAGGTGATGGGCACATTTCACGCGTTCTATGCTCAGGGTTCTTTTGAGAAGAGCCTAAATGCCACGTTTATTGCTCTCATTCCGAAAAAAGGAGGGGCGTTGGATGTTAGGGATTTTCGCCCTATTAGCTTGGTGGGGTGTTTCTATAAGTTGATTGCTAAAGTCTTGGCTTCTAGATTTAGGAAGGTTTTGGATGGCGTCATTTCTAACTCTCAAAATGCTTTTCTGGAAGGGCGTCAAATTTTGGATTCCATTCTTATTGCCAGTGAATGTGTGGACTCCAGATTAAGCAAGGAGACTCTGGGTGTTGCATGCAAGCTGGACATTGAGAAGGCATATGATCATGTGAGCTAGAGCTTCCTCCTCAACTTGATGGAGAGGATGGGTTTTAGGGAGGCATTGGATTCTTTTTTGTATCTCTAATGCCCGTTTCTCAGTTCTTGTGAATGGAGCTCCGACCAGTTTTTTCTCTAGTTCAAGGGGGTTAAGACAAGGGGATCCTTTGTCTCCGTTCTTGTTCCTCTTGGTTATGGAGGCCCTTAGTAGATTGATTAAGAGGGCGGTTGAGTTGGGCTTTTTGAGAGGCTTTAGGGTGGGCAGGGGTGCTACAAGTCAGTTGAAGATCTCCCACTTGATGTTTGATGATGACACTTTAGTGCTGTGTGATGCTGATGCGTCTCAGTTGAGATATCTGAGATGCGTTTTGGTCTGGTTCCAAGTTGTCTCTGGGTTAAAGGTTAATGTCGGTAAAAGTGTTCTTGTGCCGGTTAGGGAGGTTCCTAAGATTGAGAGGTTTGCCCAGATCCTTGGATGTCGCACTGGCTCCTTTCCCATTTCTTACTTAGGATTGCCCCTGGGTGCCTCTTCTAGATGTGTGGGGTGTTGGGATTCGGTTGTGGATAGATTCGAGAGGAGGCTGGCGGGTTAGAAGAAGCAATATTTGTCGGTCGGGTCACTCTGATCAAGAGCACCCTTTCTTGTCTCCCCACTTATTTCATCTCTCTCTTTCAGATCCCAGTTTCTGTGACTGAGAGGATTGAGAGACTGCGGCGCAATTTTCTTTGTTTAGGGGGGGAGGGGGGGGGGGGGGGAGAGGAATTAAAGTATCACTTGGTTCGTTGGGAGCAGGTTTGTTGTCCAATTCGGCGTGGTGGTTTAGGGATTAGGAGGTTGTTGCCTTTCAATAAGGCGCTCCTCGGGAAATGGCTTTGGAGGTTTGGGGTGGAAAGGCATTGGCTTTGGAGGAGGGTTGTTGCGCACAAATTTGGGAAAAGCAGTGGAGGGTGGTGTTCTCTTGGGGTGCGTGGTCCTAGGGGGGTGGGGGTTTGGAGTGGCATTCGGAAGGGGTGGGTTGATTTTTGTAAGCATGTTCGTTTTCAGATCAAAGATGCTAGGAGGATCAGATTTTGGGAGGACCTTTGGTGCGGGGATTTTCCTCTTGCAATTGCTTTCTCTCGGCTTTTCAGGATTGCTTCCAATAGGCAGGCCTTGGTGGTGGACTGTTATCATCTTGATAACGGGGATTGACTTGGGATGTTCAATTTAGGAGTCACTTTCAGGATTGGGAAATTGAGGAGGTCACCCGCTTTTGGAGTTATTGTACCGTCAGACGATTACAGCTGGGGACTCTGATTGTTGGCCTTGGATTCCTAACCCTCTGGGTCACTTTAAGGTGAGGTCCTTTTTCAGGTGTCTTATGGTTGGCTCTGGAGACTTTTTTCCTTGGAAGTCTATTTGGCGCTCCAAGGTTCCCCTCAAGGACTTCTGTCTTGGGTAGGATCTTAACCCAGGATAATTTGAGGAGGAGGAATCAGGTGGTGGTCAATCGTTGTTATATGTGCTTGCGTGATGAGGATACCGTTGATCACTTGATCACCCTCTGCTTCATTGCAGTTTGTCTAGGGGCTGTTGGGATTTGATGCTTGGGTTGTTTGGGATCCTGTGGGTCATGCATAGATCCGCTACAGGAATGATTGAGGCTTGGAGAGGCTTTTCAGTGGGGGCTCTCATTCGGGATGCTTGGGGGGCTCTCATTCGGGATGCTTGGGGGGCTCTCATTCGGTTTGAGAGAAATCGGAGATATTTCGATGGAAAGGAAAAGCCTATCTATGCTTAAGTTCTCTATTATTTCCACTCTTTTTTGTTGGGTTTCAAGGAGGGATTTTAGATCTATTGAAGAGATTGTTGTTTTTTTGGCATCTTTGAAAGTTTGAGGCTTTTTTGGCCTTGTGTTTGTCCTTGGGATGCGCTCCTTGTGTTTGTCCTTGGGATGCGCTCCCCTTTTGAGCGCTTCTTTAATAAATTTTACTTATCAAATATATATATATATATATACACACATATTACCCAACTTAATAGTTTTATCTTAAATAGCCCTCATTTCATTGAGAGGGATGGCAAGAGAGAGAACAAGAGAAGCAGTGGAGGAGAGAGGAGAGAGGGGAAGAGAATCAACAGGTGGGGTATAGTGCTGGTTAAATATCTCCTTCCGTTATGCTATCATATAATACACACACACACACACACACACACACACACACACACATATATATATTCTGAGTGTATATATATGTAATATGTATATTAACTTAATATGTTTCAATAGAATAAATTATAATACACTTTTTACATAATTTGTTATTATTATTTTTTTTATATAAATAAAACACTTTAGCTTAAATTTTACCCATAAATTATATGAATAAATAATTCGTATATTTCACAAAATCTTGAGTTTACAAGTTATTTATTATATACATATATTAAATAAGTATCTTTAACTTTTAATTATATGTTGAATAGAATAAATTATATTTATATAATCAAATGATAAATTTTTTTTTTTTTTATAAGTAATAATAACATAAAAAGGCGTTCAAAAGGGGAACGCATCCCTTATACAAAAATGGAACCGGGGCTAAGGCCCCAAAGAATCCAAAAAAATAATTAAATCATCAAATGATAAATATATTAAATGTCAATTTCCTTTCAAAATTTTTGTATAAATGGTAAATACATAATTTTAAAAGAATGAATAAGGTTATTAAAGTCTTTGAAGGGATGAAGGGCAAAATAGGCATTTTATAAAAATTCTTTCGCAGACTTGAGCATCGGTTGACGGTAGAGGAGGTATGAGAATGTCAATGAAACCTCAAGAAAGATTGACTACCATTTTTCAAAAGGTTTCATCAACAGGTAATAAGCCCAAACCTCAGGGGAGGTCAAGGTAATTCACCTAATATTTTATAGAGTAAAATAATTTGTTTAAGGTAAATAGTGGTTAATAAAAGCATTTCATTGGTTTTGAAGTAATAATATTGTAAAATTGAATAATCGGATATGTTTTCTAGATGCATGTCCAACTAAAAATGTCGAACACATAAACCATACACTTATCTAAGTATCGTGTGTCCTATATGGGTACTTCACCTAATTTTGAATAGTGCATGTAACAGAGGGCCGCTAACAACTTTTGGTATAGAAGCCCAATTAATTGAGCAAATATAACACTCTACTTCTAACCAAAAGCATTCATGTAGTATAACTTATCAATGATTTGAAAATGCATTCAGATGTCATTTCCAATATGTGAGTCACATCATGCATTTCTGAAAATATAGTCTGTATATATGATAGATACTAAATTACTAACATATTGAATACTGTAGACCAGTAAAAATGAATCATTTTCCTTATTCTACTCAATTACTAAAACACAAATACAAAATAAGAAGGAATAAAGCATACATACCAACTACCCAAGACTCCAAAACATGCATGCCAAAACGGCAAGAAATGGACCATATTCTCATTTTTTAATGCACTACTCAGATATGCAAAGAATGCCACAGAGGCAGCAAAATTAAGTGGTCCTCCATTTTTACATCCATCTATTAGCACAATAGATGCTTTTATAAACATAAAGAATGCCCTAACATATAGAAGATATGAGTTCACTATTAACAGAGAAAAAGTAAAATACCTCAGTAAGTAAAAAGCCTGTGCAATGGACTCCCCATTTCTCTTTGTTTTCGGTTTTTGTACAGCTCTTGGGACGCGTTCCCCTTTTGAATACTTTCTAATACATTTTTACTTATTAAAAAAAAAAACCCGCGCAATGGATAATGCTCCTTAATGCATAAGATTATCACTTCTCTTTTTCCTTTTGTTCAATGGATGGATTCATTTATTCACACCATCCCCGCCCACCATTTGCTTTTATGTTAAAAGTTCATACCCTAAAAGGAGTAAAACAAATAACCTTTCAACTACTGCACAGTTAACATAAGATAAATAAGAAATTTATCTTATCAGGAGGGAGTGTTATGCATTTAATAAGATCCCACTAAGCTTCTTGAGGCGTAAACACAGAGGTTCAAATTATACTGGCATCCCAGGCATGAATATAAATCTCAACCCAGACATGACCTTTAATTCAAAATTGGCTTCAACTGATCATATAATGCATCTTCTAGTCTTCAGCTAGAAAGCAGCACGTATTGTCAAATCCTGCATAAAATTAAGCCAGTTCTCTATACCATGTAGAAGAAATTCAACCCCATTCAGGTCTTTGCAACATCAGAACAAACACTTCAGAATTCGGAATTTAGAATTTGAAAAAGCACAATAGGTCTTCTTTAAAAATTTCAATAAAAATATGGTTACAACAAAACTCGGTCAAGCTGAAAAAAACATATATGGAGAAGTTAAATTCACATGGAACGTTCAACTATCCAGCACAAGTAGAAACCCTCCAAGTAAAGTAACCAATCAAAAGAGATAAAACCTTAACTCATTCCACATTTCAAACATATATAAATGAACATGTATATACATGTATGCATATGTAGGAACTCAATTGAAAGCATAATTTGTTTACGAAAAATTGAGAAAAAAAAAAATCCAAAACTTACAAGACATGAGATACGACAATCCAACCACGCATATGATCAGAAAAACAATTCGCTTCTTTCCTTCCTCGGCAAGGTCCCGAACCGTCACCGACTGCTTCTCGGTTCTCATTTTGGACCTAAGATCAATCTTCACACAATAACACTCATCGAATATATATATACACACACACACAAACAATCAATGTCTCAATCCAAGCACTTCCTTTCTGTAATTCTCATGTCCCTTTCAGACATCAGGCTCCGTACATTATCCTGTGTGTATGATCGAACCAAACACTTCCACTAACTACAAGAAACGCAATCAATGAATGTGCATGAAAAAATTAGGGCAAAATTGATAAAATCGAGAAGATGAGTATCAGGAATCGGAGACTTTCTGAATGCAATCAATCGTCTTTGACGGCAAAGACTATTAGGTTTTATGAGTGTATATATGTGTTTGTCTCCTTGGCTTTCTCTCTCTAACTTTCTCGCTCAAAATTCAACTGCCCAGTACTGGTAGGTCTTGTTTGGGCTTTAATAAGCTACCACTCTGTAGATAAAATAATGTGGCGTTCGAAGACATGGTCGGCTTGGCCTTTAAATTTGGGAGAAAACGAACATAAACCCCAATTTGTAATTTCACCTTTTTCTACCCAATATATATGTGCCTTTACCTTTTGCTTACAATATATACGCTTTTTTTATTTTTTTTGACAGTTACAAACTTACAATATATTTATTTTAGTACAAGGAACATGTAATTAGGATTCACTATGAACTTTAATGTGGCGATGAGAACTGCATTTAATGAGTGTTTGTCTCAATTCTTTTCCTAATAATTTTTAGAGCATGTTTGACATTGTGGTTAAAATGATTAACAATGTTTTTTATTTTAGAATTCTTTAAAAAAAAACAGAAAGAGCTCTTTAATTATGTTTGGTGGCAAAAACGTATTTTTTGACCTTGCTTTCACATATGTGGCCAATGGGTATGGTGCTGGCTGAATTAACAACTTTATATTATCTTTTATATCTATATAAATATAAAGAAATAATATTTAATTTGATATGTCAGAGTAAATTTATACAAAAATTTTGTATCAACTATTTTTAACTCCAGCGATTGTTTTATACTTTTGTGTAAAAAAATATCTCCGAATAACAACTAACCACGTGTCATACCTAATACCTTACATAACTTCAGTTTACTTTTTGACGATTAAACCTCACATCCCAATCCTCCTCAATTATAAAAAAAATAATAATATCCCCCTATATTACGCTTTTCCATCCCGCCAATAACAAACCTTTCACGCCATCGCCACCGAAAACTTTTAACAAATAATAAAAATAAGATTCAAGTATGTAGACACTACGTGATTAAAATATATATCTAATCTTTGGTAAGTACATATTTATCTCATTAGAATAGAATGTAAAAGGATAAAAAATCTAAAAAAATCCTAGAATCTACTATAGTATGATTGCAGAAGATAAAGATCAAACGAAAGTGATGAATCAAACTATGTTTATTAAAAATATATATAAATAAATAAAAGATGGTCAAGCAGTTCTTACTTTATCGCTAGTTATAGATTCTTCTATATTGCACTCTAGAAAAGTGGGAAACAAAGAGGCCTAAAAAAATGAGAGAGAAGAAAGAAAATCGTGGGTGGGAAAGGGAGAAGAGAGAGAAAATATGCTTATATGGCAGTGTAAAAGTACTAAGTACTGTGTAAAATACATAACCTTTTTATACATTGGTAATGTAGCAGTGTATCTTAACATATTGTTAGAAATAAAAAAAAAAACTTACAAATTATATGTGGCAATGTATATTTTACAAAAAAAAAAAAAAAAAAAAAAAAAATTTAAGTGGCCGGCCAAAACGCATGAGACTATGTCATGGGTTTTGACCAGCTTTGTGAGCTCCTAAGCCAATCTCACACTGCTGTCATTTTTATCCAATAATTGTCCTGTCCAAAGAGGGTCATCTAATTTTTTTTATCTCAGTAAAACTTTTTAGTTGGAGTTCAAATAAGAATTTTCTGAATTGTGTGGACAAAGTATAGGTAAAACTTTATGGTCTGAGTTGATGGAAAGACAATATTATAAAAAGTGTTGAATATATACTGGATTCAAAAATGTTATTTTATCTTCGACATACAGCACATTTTTGACGACTTAGTACAAACTACACGAATGCTAATTAAGCCCACAAATATTCGATGTACAGGAATGGAATTGATTCAAAAACTTTATACAGCACATTTTATCTAGTGGTATGGAATAAGAAGTTTGCTTTAAAAGAATGGGGTCATTGGTTACAATACTTTAGGTAATAATTTCATGTCGCGTTTTGTACGCAGGAATGAAATGGAATGAAATGCATATTTCAACTATTTTTTTGTTTGGTATGTGATTTGAACTGAAAATGGTCATTCTATTGGAATGAAAATTCATTTCACAACTAAATCCATAGAATAGTCATTTCATTCCAAAATAAATTTTTTTTTTTAATTTTTAAATTCAACTTTTCAAAAAACTCTCGTGCTCCAAGTTTAAAAACCACCACTATTTTTCACAACAACCACCACTGCCTTTCACCACCAATACCACTGACTTCCACCACTACCATCGATGTCATTGACTTTCACCATTGCCAACCTTTTTCCACTGCCGCCGCCCGCCACCGCCATCACCTTTCACCACCGCCACCACCTTCCACTATTACTTTTCACCACAACCACCACCTTCCACTACCACATTCACTGCCATTACATTCCATTGCCACCGCCACCTCCATCGACACTGTCTTTCATAACTATCACTACCATCATTACCGCTTTCCACTATGGCCATTACCATCGCCTATTCCACCACTGCCACCTTATTACTTTCCACCACCGTCAAAAATGTATGTGGCCAACGGGTATGGTGCTACGTAAAAGCTCGTTAATTATGTTTGGTGGCAAAAACGTATTTTAGTGAGGTATGGTGTGATAACCTAGTTGGTAAGGGCGCTGTGCTTGTGGCCAAATGGCCCAGGTTCGATTTTCCATCCTATATACGTCAGTTGCTTTAACTTTTTTTTTTTTTAACCAGCTTTCACATATGTGGCCAACGGGTATGGTGCTGGTTGAATTAACTACTTTGTATTATTATTTATATATATAAATATAAAGAAATAATATTTAATGAGATGGGATCTTACATTTTTTAATGAGATGAGACCCTCAGTGGCTGGCCAAAACGCATGACAACTATGTCATGGGCTTTGACTAGCTGTGTGACGTCCTTTCTTGGCCAATCTCACACTAGTCATTTTTTTTTTGTCAAACATTTGTCCAGGCCAAATGGGGTCATATAAATTTTTCTTCTCTCAATGAAGCTTTTTAGTTGGACCAATGCGTCAGTGACATAGTGATATTAGATTCTTTATTTTTCAAAAAGAGGTAAAGGGTTTAAGCCTATACAGGGAACATGTGTGTGTGAGAGTATCAAAAAAAAAAAAAAAAAAAAAAAAAAGGGCTTTTTAGTTGGAGTTCAAATAAAAACTCTCTGAATTGTGTTGGCAAGTATAGGTAAAACTTTATAGTGTGAGTTAGTTGATGGAAAGGCAATACTTATAAAAAGTGTTGAATATATACTGGATTCAAAAATGTTACTACGTATTTTATCTTCCACATACAACACTTTTTGACGACTTATTACAAACTACACGAATGCTAATTAAACAAACAAAATATGGTACTCCGTACTATTTAGGGCTTGAGGTATTAATACTAAATTATTATTCTCTCACTTAAAAGGGGCGGTTATAATCACGCCCCTTTTACAAATGTTATTTTCACTTCTTTTCATTTTCCTGCCCGCGTGTTTTCAATTTGAGTATGTGTTGATTGATGAAGCAGTAAATGAAATTGCCTCTGTTGACAATGATGAGCACATGCTTCATTCAATCCCAAATATGCATTGTGATCACAGGGACAAGTAGTCAACATCAAAGTGTATAGATGGATTCAATGAAAACTTGGTTACATGTATGTAGGCTAAGGAATGTAAATTTGTAATGGCTTAGAGTTATATATTTATTATTATTATTATTTAACAAAGAACTCTCACTATACTTTTAGATATTCAAATCCTCAATCTTTCATTATCTTGGATTTTAAATATGGTCTTTATTGATTAGATAACTTTTTTTTTTTTATTTCTCTAATTTTTTATAATATTGTTAGGGATATTAACTTTCTTTAATTTACTAATAAAAGTACCATTACATCACATCATTAATGGAGAGAGATATTTCACTATTATTATTAATCAAATAAGAGAATATATAATAATTAGATATCAGAACTCTACTCACTCATTCATTATCTTTTTTGAAGCTACATTTCTATGTTCTGGAATTACACATAATTATACATACTTTTCCATCTCTTCACAACATTCACCTTAAAACTCTTTACATTTTTTCCTCTCTCTAGGTGTATCTCACATCCTCTTCAAACTTAATCTTTTGTTAGACAAGAATTTCACATGCATACAAAGTGTTACCGTAACAATTACAACTCTAAAATAGAAACCTATTATACAGCAAACAAATTTTTTTTTGCTTATTTTCATTCTTCAACAAGTTAGACCGGTCAAATAAGTTCCTAAATAACTTCCTTTAACGTACGAGCTTTACTTAATCCAAATAACACAATATACACACACCAAATTCGAGCCACAAAAACTAACATATTACAATAAGAATCAATTCTCTAACCTCACCTTTTGGCGGCTCAATGACACTTAAGCCTGAAGCAAAAATATTTTTGATGGTTGATATATTAATTTAAATAACAATAATTAACTCTAACGTTGTTGTCACTTTAAAAGATTTTTAAAAAGTGTTAGAAGATAAATTATGGAACGAGCATTCAGTGTGGTAAAAAATTATTCATTATGGCCAATGAAAGCTGATGGTGTGGGGGCGCCAAATTCGAGCCCCACACACTGGCTGGCCAAAGCACTTAATGGGGCTCACATTTATATTTTATTGCAACGAGCCTCAACAGCTCTTTTGATAGGCTAGTCAATGGGCCCCCCCCACCCCCCACCCACTTTTTCTCTCTATTCGTGTGCGTGCGTATATTATATGATCAAAATTCCTTCCACCCTCTCTCTAGTAATGAATAATTTGCACAAACTATTTATGATTTGTCATAATTAAATTTTTTTTTTTATTTTAAAAATTAATAAAAATAATTTATATAGACCTTATTTATATGTGACGGATTGTTAAATAAATTAACGGATATGTTAAAACTCTTGAAATACCCTTACATTGCCACTGAAATTACTAGAATACCCATCTGAAACTCTGGACTCTCTGCAACTCTGCAACCCGACGTTTGCTTCAAGTACCAGTTACACGGAGAAGATCTTGACGCGTTGGTATTGGGCGAGGCTGAGGTTGGCTCCTCCAAAGCTCACAACTTTTGGGATTCAAGTTCCGATCCAAATCTTTCTTTCAATTTGGTTCAGCCACTTCTTCCCCTTCTGCAACTTTTCCGTCAGCATACTTTGCTTCGCTCGTCAACCCAGATCAATATTCAATCAAAGAGCTTGGTGAGATATATGGGGACCAACTAGACCAAGATACTCACGTTTGTATCGAACTACAGCCCCATGGGAACTCATATTTAATGGATCCAAAACCACCCTACTCAACCTAAAGACAGAACAGAAGATGCAAGGCCTAGATTCCCAGCAGTTCATGATCAAAACCCTTCAAAATGACTCACTATTTTATCAACCTAACACCACCTCACCATCACACAATCAAACAGCATAATCACTGGAGCCACTAATCCCAAGGACCCTTCATCTCCAAAATTCATCACATTTTGTTTCTTTACAATGTGAGCCCATCAACATATCTATATCTATCTATATATATATATATTTATATATATATATATATATTATTCTAAAATTAATATTTTTTATTTTAAAAATGTAAGGAATTTTTTGATTTCCAAACATTTTTTTACATTTATTAAAATAAAAAATTAAGTTTTTGCTTTGATTTAAAGTATACTAATTTTTTCTAATACAATTATTATTTCAATAGCTATTAATTACAATTTTTTTTTTTTTTTTTTTTATCATATTAATTGCAGTACAATTGTTATTAATTTCAATTCTATATTCATGCCTTTTTCTTTTCAACTGAAAAATGATAATATACCATTTTCATTTATCTTCTTTCTATTCACATCTTTTGTTCTCCCTCAAAAAATTCCAATCAAAGATTACTTTATATCTTCCGAGTATATATCTTTTTAGTTACACATACATATACATACATACATATATAAATATATATATATGCATTTATGTATATATTTAATTCACATATTCTAATAGTCAAATTTACAAGAGTTAAACCACTACCATCATACCTGCTCTATAAAAAACTCAACATCACCTTCACGGACAAAAATAAAATACTCATATTTATTATGTGACATAAATTTAAATCATAATGTCATGTACCCAATTGTTTAAATGGTGGTTTCACTATCTTATTAAAATGAGTGTGTGGACTACTACAAAATTATTCCTAGAGTACCCATGCACATTTGGTAACCACTCAAATGCCAAAGCTTTTGGGCCTAAAGAGGGAAGCAAGCTATGCACGCCGTGTTTGTCACGTCCTCTTCCCTCACACAAATTTGCATGCCGAGAAGTGAGAGCATGATTATTGATTAGCCTTACTGGCCATGTCGAATGCCAACCCCGCTTAGTTGGAGACACGAATGGGGGTATTATATAATAGTTTAAGCCCCACATTCTATTTCATTTCTGGGTTTCTCCACTTTCCAGCACCCAAACGACCACAATATTGCCACGTCCAGCCCAAGAAAATGGGACGTCATTATCTAGTGTGTGACATACAAACATTGTGGGGTTGCCAAACCCAATGGTACTCAAGAAATTAAATTCTCTCTATTTCTGAATATATATATATATATATTTCTGAAATGAAATATTTGAACATTGTGGGGTTGGTAAAATTAAGTCACAATTAACGAGTAAAGACCATAGTCAATAAATTAAACTCTCTCACTCTCTCTCTCAAATAAACATAAGTACAGGAAAAATGGAATAGTTGAGAAATTAAATTGCAGTTTATATTTTAAATCACAGGGGAGGTTTCGTTATTTAAGCATTCTACTGGGGAGCCAATGTAATTTGTCATGGGTAAGAAACTCGGACACACACACTTTACTCATTTGGAAACTTAATCCCTCACTATCCAACAGAAATTCTTTTTTGAGTGACAAACTGAAAAAATATTTTTTGTTTTGCTTGGAACCGTTTTATAAAAACTGTGTTTCCAAAACTGAGATCTGTCTAATTGTTCATCCAAGCCACATGGTTGTCAGCCCAACCTCAAATAGTCCACTTTTGGGTTCTTTGGACTCACCTATGGAGTCATGGGCCTATGCAGAGTCCATTCTCACATTGTGCTTTCTTTCATTTTAGGTCAAGGCCCACAAATATATATTATTTTTCTCTGGACTTGTTCTAAGAAGTCATCTAGTCCTTCTATGGACTTGGGATGTATGTCCATAATTTTTTATTTGTACATAAAAAAATTGTTAGAATAAATTCATGTTGGGTTGGAGTATTCCTTTCAACATTGCACCCATAATATACTCTACTGCATATAGAGGAGTATGTGTTTTTATTAGGGCAAATTGCATTACACTTCCACTCTATTTTCAATTTTTTTGAGTGAACAATTAGACAGATCTCAGTTTTGAAAACACAGTTTTTATAAAACGTTTCCAAGCAAAACATTTTATTTTTATTTGTATCTAATAAATCATAAATGATCAGACTAGACGAATTGATAAGAGTACCAACCATATAACTATAAATTTGGACAGTTGCGCCAAACATTTCTCTTCATCAGCATATATACGAAGACTTGCAGACCAGCCAGAGACTTCAATTTTCTCCTAATTGCACTTTTAAGGCCGCCAACAACCAAATTTAAAGATACATGAGAGATCTAAAATACTTGTCCCACTTCCATTTCATGTGAAAACAATTCTATCAACTTCCTAAAAATATAAAGTAATTAAACATTGCAAGAACTGCATTTCATGTCAATATAATTCCAATTTTTTTTTTTTAGCTGTGACTTTCCATTTCAGTCGGTTTCTTCTACACTGTCTATATTGCCGGCAACAAATAAATACAACCGGAGTGGGATCCGGTCATGGCGTCAGCCTTGTTACCGAATCCGGAACCGGTGATGTTCTCACCGCCATGGCCCCCTCTCCAGGCACCATCACGGGCATGGGGCGAAAGCTCGCCTCCATGGCCCCCGCTCCAGGCACCAACACCGGCATGGGGCGAAAGCTCACCGCTCCAGGCACCACAACCGGCGGTGAGGGGCAAAAGGTCGCCATTATTGACTCCGCTCCGGGCACTGCCACCGGTGTGGGGCGAAAGCTGGCCGTCGGCATCGACTAAGAATAATGCTAAATGGGTTGCTGCGCTTAGTACTGTTGGGATTGGAATTCCAGTTATACTGATTGCTGTGGGCATTTTGATCTGGTACAAGAGGAAGAGACGCCATGCATTGGCTGCTTCCATTACAGGACTCCAAAGTGAGATCTTTATCTTCCACCCATCCACTATATATATGTGAATGTTTACTAGCAATCCTACCTATACAGTTCAAAATTATTAGGTGATTGCAAAAAAAGATGTATAGATACGTGATATAATCATATAATAGAGCTTAGATCCTTGTAATAGATATTGGGGGAGTCACATACCACATATTACATATATGTCTACCAAATAAAAATATACTATAGCTAAGTTATATAATAGGACACACTAACGTGGAATGTTCAATTTTTATTTGGTGAAGATATGAATGACATGGTATGTGGAGCTCCTTTAGCTCTCGTAGGGATCATATACTCCACCCCCTAAAGTGATGATTGACACTCTTTAGCCTTGGAGTGGATCCAAGTCCATCACACACACACACACACACACACACTATATTGTCAAGTACTAATGTTTAAAAAAATTAAAGAAGATTTTACAGAGCCTGTTTGGTTTTTCAAGAATTCAAAAAATATATCATTTTTAAACTGATTTTCAAAATATAGTTTTCATAAATTGTCAAGTACGAGTGTTTAAAAAAATCAAAGAAGATTTTACGGAGGCTGTTTGGTTTTGCACGAATTCAGAAAATATATCCTTTTAAAACTGATTTTCAAAATATAGTTTTAATAAATTGTCAACCAAACACATTTATGTACTTTCGTTTTTTTTTTTTTTTTTTTTTTTTTTCTCAAGAAATAGATACCATCCAGGAGAAAGCAATTCTAATTGTTATCTTCCTAACCAGAAAAATAAATCGATTTAACATCTAAAGATTGTAAAGTTATATGTCCTAGGAAAAAGTTTAACATTACAACATAAGATGGGAAAAGGATAATATAAATTCAAAAATTAGGTCAGAGAACTTAATAGGATATAAATTAAGATAAATGATAAAAGAAGTCAATAGAATAATTGAATATATGTCACAGTAAATGAGTAATCAAAATAAGTCCATGAGAATCAAAGGGAAAAAAAAAAAAAGGGTACTAATAAACTAACTGGAAAAAGACTACTGCAATTTATCATGGAGTAAGTTTGTTGATTCCAATGGTGTTGCAGGCCAACAATGGCAGCAAGATGTATCTCCGCCAACACGCGACACAATTGCAATGCTGCAAAGACCCAGTATTCCTCCCCCACCACCATCTTCAGTTGACAACAGTGTTGGCCTCGACAAGCAAAGCTCTGGCAGTAGATTGGGTTACTCAAAGACTATATTTACATATGAAGAATTAGCAAAGGCAACAAGTGATTTCTCTGAAGCCAATTTTCTTGGTCAAGGAGGCTTTGGTAACGTCCTCAAAGGAGTCTTTCCAAATGGGGAAGAGGTTGCAATCAAGCAGCTCAAAGTTGGAAGTGAACAGGGGGATCGTGAGTTTCAGGCTGAGATCGACATTATTAGTCGTGTTCACCACAAACATCTTGTTTCTCTGGCTGGCTACTGCATTTATGGGGCTCAGAGATTGTTGGTCTATGAGTTCGTCCCAAACAAAACATTGGAGTTCCATTTACATGGTGAGCCCTTTTCGCACTTTTATCACTTGCTAGACAAGATATGTACGCTCAATAATTCTGGAGTAGATTAGAAATAAATATTTAGAGTGTATCTCAATAGGGTTTTGTTTATTTGTTAAACTTGGGATTGATTTGCTTGTATGGGAGAGCCTTGTTAATTCGTAATGCGAATAATCTTTGTGGGGCATTTTCCCTATGAGTTCTTTTAATGTTGTGTGCTTGTGGGAAATTTGTTTCCCTGTTCAGGTTACAAACAATCTCATAGTGTTTGTTACTTTAATGAGTTTAGCATATAGTATTTGTCATCACAATCATAGATACATCCCTCATTAATTTAGTGGCAATACTGCACTTCTTTTCTGATTCTTACTTCACCAGAGCCATCTAACATTTTATATCACTGCTAATTATTACTGTATAGGACTTATATTGTAGTAGTTATAATATTGAATGAGTAGTGATATATTTATTTCTTATTCTTTTTTCCTTGTAGGGTTTGAATTATTAGGACAACAGGTTTCAATATCTGTTCTCCTAGCTAGTGTTCCATTTCTTAGGAACTATATGCCTTTTGGAATTATTATGGTTTGTAGGTGTTTGTTTCAATCCCTACCTGCATTAATGCTATCTTATCATAGAAAAATTGATTGACATTGCAGAAAAGGAGGGACCTCCTTTAAGCTGGGGAATTAGGATGAAAATTGCTTTAGGCTCTGCAAAGGGATTGGCATATTTGCACGAGGACTGTGAGAGATTCAAATTTTTTGTTTGACAAAAAATATTTTAGTTTTGGCTAAGAGATAGTATTCAAATTGTCTTGAAATGTACTATATCTGCAGGTCATCCCAAAATCATACATCGCGACATCAAGTCGGCAAATATTCTTCTTGATTACAGTTTTGAGGCAAAGGTAGGATCGGCAGAAAAGACACTATGAATTTTGGTTATATTTATACTTTGACACATGTTTAAGCTATTCACTGGAAATAAACAGATTACGAAGAGTCACTGCTCTATGCAAGTTTTAGATCCTGTGTTATAGAACTTGTGAATTATTCCTGATCAATGTGGTGCTCAAACTGTCTCTTCTGTTTTGCTCAAAACAATTGATATGTCTAATTGAACCCTGTTTTGCAGGTAGCAGATTTTGGTCTTGCTAGGTTCAATTCTGATACTGTTACTCATATCTCCACCCGTGTAATGGGAACTTTCGGGTGAGACCCTATTTCTTATTTGTTCACCAAAAGCAGCTTTAGTAGTGCCGTACATATAAAGTCCTGGAGTGGCTTAAAATGAAGTGTAGATGATCTTGTACTATGTATGACTTCTCTCATTCACACCCACACTAACTGGTTGCAGTTATTTAGCTCCAGAGTATGCTCTTACCGGGAAACTTACTGAAAAGTCAGATGTCTTCTCCTTTGGGGTTGTGCTTCTAGAGTTGATCACTGGTCGCCAGCCTATTGGTAAAGCTCAAGTCTTCTTGGATGAAAATATAGTTGACTGGGTGAGTTTTCTACGAGTTTCCTATTTCATCAATGGAACAATAATCTGACATTTTAACAAATGTTGGTCCTGTTACTATGGGGTGTGCTTTTAGAGGACACTCACTTGTTGAACCTATTTTATGGCTATATAACCACAATGTGGCCATCCTTGAACTCTAGCTTGCACTCTCATTCTAGACCATTCGACCTTTTCTTCATGGATTCTATATATCGAAGGAAAGTAAAAGAGAGCACAAAAACAATATCAAATGCCAACACTTCACAACATTGTCTTACACAGAAAAATACATTGAATGGCCTTCTTTATCTAGGTCTTAGCATGCACTGTTTAATGTAATACTACTTTTATTTTTGGATTGCAAAGCTCAAGTGGCATTAACTTTTTTGTTCCTATGACAAATAACACACTTCCCCATTTTGCCCTTTCGGGGACTTAAACTCTCAACCTTCGATTCTGTGAGATAGAGAAAATACAACTGGTTATAACACTTGGTCAACTGGAATGAATAAGAATAACACATTTTCTAATTAAAATTTTAGGCGAGGCCTTTACTCACAAAAGCTTTGGAAGACAACAATTTTGATACTCTTGCTGATCCAAGGTTGCAAAAGGATTATGATTCATTTGAGATGGCTCGGATGGTTATTTGTGCTGCTACCTGTGTACGTCATTTGGCAAGACGCCGCCCACGAATGAGCCAGGTACATCTCTCCATTCAGTGCGATAAAGCCCCCTTTAAAAGTTCAAAGTATAAACTAGAGGCTCTAAAATTTTTGTCTCTCCATTATGGTCAGAGTAATTGAAACTACAATTCCATCATCTAGAATGGGGCCATCAGAGAAATGGGATACATATATATCACCATTTTTTAAATGCAGATCAGTTTTAGGATTTCCCGAATCCCTTGATTTTCCAACTTTACGTATCATTTGGGAGGAGATTTCCCAAATCCCATTTATGATGATGGACTTTTGCATAATGTTATACATAAAACTTAATGAGACGCTTTGGTCCCTTTTTGAGATGCTCAAATGCACATTTAACAGTTGATGGATTTGGGATACTAGAGTTTGACTCACTACGATCACCTTGATAACTAGAATGAAATCTAAGAATTTGTATGTTGGCACTCCTACCATTTTTGATTCAGATTGTCCGAGCTTTGGAAGGAAACATGTCTCTAGATGAGTTAAGTGAAGGTAGTAGACCCGGACATAGCACAGTGTATTACAATTCGCATGAAAATTCGGATTATGATAAAGCCCAGTACAAGGAAGATTTGAAGAAATTCAAGAAGATGGCACTAGGAATTAGCCAGGAACATGGTGCTAGTGAATGCAGTGGAACCAGTGAGTTCGGTGTGAAGTCATCTGTCTCCAGCACTAGTGAAGGTCAACAAACTACTCAAGAGATGAGCTCTGGCAGTGATATCCAACAAAGTATCCGAGGTGGCACTGCAAACCAATGAATTGAAGAAAAAATGCCGCGAAAAACTCCTGAAATCAAGATACGCGAAGGTTAAAGAAAATGTTCAGAGAAATGGACTTGTAATCGACAGTTGAAAATTGTTCTGCTTGATGCATGGTTTAATAAATCAGAAGAATCAGGTAGATAGATGACCATGGTCCTTCATATTCACTCCAAGTTTTCAAGAGATGCTGAAATAAATTATGGTTTATGCATAGAATTTGATTGAAAATCAATTGTTCTATTATGTTATAGTTCAGTTATACTCTTTTAACTTTTATAATTGATATGCTGAATTGGACCTCTCAACTTGGTGAATTTGTGCTGCGCGCATGTATTATTATTAAGCAGTTCTTGTACACATTAGGATTCATTGAAACATTCGTCTTCCCCGTGTTGTCAATTGCTGCTACACTTTTTTTATTGGTCTGAAACAGAATATCAATCTATATTCATTGGCTATTTTAATATATACACGCGGGTACACAACTGGTTGAAAAATAGAGTGTGTGAGAAAGGAGAAGAGGAGTGTGAGGTTTCCAATTTTATTTATTTATTTAATTTCTTGTGGTAATTAATTATTTTATATGTTATTTACCAATTATGTGGGGATAGGATAGTCTTTTGTCATTGCCATGGCCTAATGGTGGTTTAGTAACCTTGGAGGGGTAATGTGGTCTTTTCATGTGGTCAACACTTTGACCATGCATGTGTGATGACACATGTACTCTTGTGTGGCAGAATTTTGCTAGTTTCTACAAACCCACTTCGGCAGTCACACACAGCCTTCTCCTCCTTTGTTCTTCTTTCTCTTTTCATCTTCATTCCTCCATTTTCGTCCTCCATGAAAGCTTCCTTTTGAAGCTTGACTTTGAAGGCTTTCTAGGAAAATTTTGGGATTCCATAAGAACATAAAATGTTCCTTAGAGAGAGGGCTTTCCATTGATGTAAAAATCCACACCATTCCTTCATTGCTGAATTGCAAAATTTGCCTTGGAAGTGGGCTGTTGGTTGGTGCTTCAAAGAGGAAGTTACTACTCTTTCTTTCTCCTTTTCATTGGTGGTTCTAGTTGATCAATTGGAGGCTGTTTTGTGGGTTTTAGCTTGAATTGAGGTAGGGGTTGTTCTAACCCTCACACCCTTTGTTTCCTTGTGAATTAAATTCTCTAATTTGAACCATTATATGACTAAAATTGAATTTTCTTTGCAAGCATGTTATGTAGTTAAAAAAATCTAAAATTTGCAGTTGTATATTAATGATGTATGATATAGTCTAGAAACTGAAATTTAGGCTTCCTAAACGTGGTTGTTGTATGTGTTGAAAACCGGAGATTTTGTTTCAATTGTGTTATGTAAATTAGGTAAATTACATCCTTTAAATTGAAACCAAAATGTGACTAGTTCCTAGAAACTGATTTTTTAGCTCCTTTAATGTTGGTTATGTCTTGGGATGAAATTTATACAATTACATGACTGTTCTTGAAATTTCCTTATGTTTTCTATGTCCAATGTATTTGTATGATTGTGTGGATTAAATGACAACATGCCTAAGTTGATTTCATAAATGCTGTGGTCTTATGTTATTATGAAGCATGTTGCCCTGTTAACTTCTTGTTAAAGTGTGGTTTATGGAATAAAATTTAGAAATGAAGAATGCTTTAATTTTATTAGAAAGCATGTGTACTCATGCATGTGCATTGGGTGATACTGCATGGGAAGAAAAACTGAAATTTTGGAGAAGGAAACAAAATTGAAATGCTTGGGAAATGTTTTGAACTAAAGTTTGCGAAAACCGAACAACAAGCAGTTACCTTGTATCCGTGTCGTTAATGGGACCTAGAGGGGACGTAGGGAGTTGCCTTGCGCGTGGTTGAGTTACTAGGCCCCAAATGACGCTTAAGAGTTACCTTAGGTCATGGATAGTTAGCCAATCCTCCTCTCGTGGTGCTGGGGAGTTACCTCGGTCGGGTTACATTAACGTTTTTAGTTATTTTTTCCGGGCAAGCATGACCCCTTTACTTAGCTATTCTTTGTGTAGATTCACGGAAGTTGTAAGGAGTGCGTTTTAAACAACTTTTATTGAGCCGTTGTGCTCACTTCATCATTATTATTATTATTATTTTTTTCAGGATACGGAAAAGCAGACCTCCCTCCACAAGTCTAGATTGACTTGGACTAGCTTTCGTGACATTTTTTGTTTTGTATGAATGTTTATGTTGTAATCATGTAAAAGTCATGTAAAATATAAACTTGTATCTTTAGTACACTTTCCTCTACGGCATGTAATTAATGGACTCTAAGGACTTATGTTTTGAGATGTATATATATTTGAGGAAAATTATGAACGTTGGTTTATATTTCAGTGTCATTATTCATCCTGTTGGTTTTCCTCTATGGCATGTAATTAATGGACTCTAAGGACTTATGTTTTGAGATGTATATATATTTGAGGAAAATTATGAACGTTGGTTTATATTTCAGTGTCATTATTCATCCTATTGGATGTACAATGTGATTACATGAAGGTAGGCTGTGAAATGTATGTTGGGACAGGTGTGGAAGACTCGGGATAGCCTAGTAGCCAATGGGATATATTAGCCTTTCCTATTCATTGGTATATTCGCAGCAGGGACTCAGTTTAGGGGCGTTACAAGGAGCTGCAGGAGCTGCAGGAATTAGAGAGTTCTTGGGACAGAGCATTATACTACATAATGGGGATGTGGAATCACTGCACATGAAATGTACGTCCCAACTAAGTGCAACCAGTTTTTGGAATTTAAATAAAAATTTATTAATTATTATAAAGGTAAAATACTATATTGCTTTGTATTCAATTAGTCAAATCAGTAAAAAAAAATACCTACTAAAATTAGTTTAATGCGTAATAGATGTTTAACAGTGTAGGGGTGCACAATTAGATTAGTAAGAGAACGGAGACGCCAATTGGTTTACCGTTTCAAATGGGAAAACAACATTCCACCGGTGCAATAAAATATACATCTTTATAATATTGATGGTGGGCTTTTGTGTACATTATTGTAAAGTATAGGTAATATTTTGATTTAATATAAACTAAATATTTGAGGTGTGCATAATAGCTATGTGTGTGAATAATTCTTGGGTGTAACAGTAAAGTCAAACATAACAAGTCAAACATAAAACTGATGATAAAGGGCCCGTAATGGACAAAAGTGATCAATGACTTATCTAGGGGAGGACTGGTCCAGCCCACCCAAAAAAAAAAAATTAATTATGGGTAATTTTAACCAAGTTCAAAAAAAAAAAAAAACAATTATTATTATTATTATTAGTATTAGTCCATCTAAACAAACTTAAGCGACAATATTAAAATAAAGGTCCAAGTCAAACAAGCCCTAATAAAAAAATTTGCTTAATAAATTGTGTTATTAAATTTATGTTTAATTTTAACTCACTCCATTGACAATTTCTGAATTTGCCCTTGAAAGTGATAGTCATGCATGAGTCATGTCTCTTATGCTTGTATTATGTTTCTTTTTTAAATGAATCCATCAGCATACGTTATACTTACTTTGTCCCAATTTAGATGTTGCTTTTAAGGAATATGAATTTTTAAGGAGACATGTGGGATATGTCTTGTCTCCTTGAAAAGTTACTAATTTGCCCTTATATTCAAGTTTAAAATTTTAAACTCCAAGATATATATATTTTTAAATAGAGGGAGTAATAATTAGTATTAATTACATTATACATACACACACACACACACACACACATTTAAACAGAAAAAAAGAAAAAAGAAAAAGGTGGGGGTGTTGATCCCTATATGACTATGTCTATGTTTCCAAACACAAAGGAAAGTCAAGGCAAGAAATGAATTTCATGACAATATAATTGTTTGTTTTTTGAGTCCTTTCCTGTAAATTTTTTTTTTTTTGGTGACTTTGCATTCCACTCTCTAAATCATGGTTATCAAAATCGCGATTCTGAGTCATAGAATCGCACGATTCTACGACTCAGAACTCGAAATCGAGTCAAATCGCAGCAGAATCGCTCAATTAGTAGAATCGTAGAATCGGAGGTAGAATCGTACGATTCTGCACGATTCTACCGATTCTAAAAAATTGTTTGTTTGGGCCTTTAATTTTGGTCTTTTTTTTTTTTTTTTTGGTTGGTTTGGCTACAAAATAAAAGAGGCCTAGCCCAAGTATAGTATACAAAGTTAAATATTTATTCTATAAAATATAAATTATTTTTCATTAGTGGCAGAAAAAGATATATATATATATGAGGAGGCCCCGGATGACATGGGCCAGATCCGACTCGCAAACATAGCATTCAGTCCGTACAGCTGGGCCAGCCCATAGAAGGACACTGCCATATGGGCCGAACGAGAGTAAGCCCATCAAAGGTGACCAAGGCTTACGAAGGAATAGGCCCAGATCCAGCAATTAGTAAATATCTTGTAAATATCTTGTAAATATCTATAAATAGGAGATGGAATGAAATGAAGGGGGATCTTTTGGGGGTTGAGGTGTAAGAATTCTAGAGAGAGAAAGTGGAGAAGGAATTTCTTGCATCTTCAATTGGCGCCGTCTGTGGGAAACGCATGGAAGTTTGGTTGATCAATGAGGAATATCGAATGGATTCAAACCAATTCGGTTGATCGAGACTCGATCTTTGGGATTTGAATCCAGAGCTGAGCGATTGTGACCTGCTCTGGAGGAATTACAATTCTTGAAGCTTTGGAGTGACTTCAGATCTACGAGTTGTTTGATTGTGGCAGGATCTGACGGATTTAGAGTTCAGACAATTCAGATCTCGTAAACAGTGAGCATAATTCGGAGAATTAGAAGCCAGATCTAAAAAATTCCTACTCACGAAGCTCAGATCTACTCGCGAGCTTGAGATTAATGCCTTTACTCCGTTCGGGAATAATGATAGGTGAAAGCTCCAATCCGATGGAGGCTGTCCAGCAAACAAAGCTTGAAGAGTTGATGAACTTGATTGAAGCTCTCAGAAAAGAAAATGCAGAATTGAAAGCTGGACTGCAACATCGGCAAATACCTGCGGTTTCGCATCCACCTCCGGTCGGAGAAGGAGGTGTTCAATCCAATATCGCGCATCAAGGCGATCAGAACGAGAACAATCAGTCAGCTCACCACCGTGATGAAAGGATGATGGACAATTTGCCGCCAAAT